CTTTGTATCGCAAGAACCTTCCTCAAGAACTTACGATACGTCAGAAAAAACGGAGTCGAGATGGAAGCAGTCGACAGCAGCCAGGGCAGAATCCTACATTTACGGCTTACATGCTCCGCGGATTGGTCATATCGGTTCAACGGTCGCAAAATCACGAAACGCAAACGATGATTGTGTGCAAGCTAGTACACCAGCAGATAACCAGGCGATCCAATCACGCCGCACCAACATGAAATCAAATTGTTCCAAACGTCGATGTTGCGATGAGTTGTTGCAATGTCACCAGGATGGCCGTTTTTTTATCTCGTGTCGGACCACGGATGTTCGAATAAACAAAAACATAAAAATAACAATCTTTTGGCATGTTTCCTTCAAAGCGGCTGCCACAATCTGGTTGGTGCGACATGCAGGTTCGGACAGTTGCCTGCAGAGAGACATGGTGGAATACGTGCAGCTGCCATGTTTGCACATGAGTGCATGTGCTGTTGTCGCGGCTTCGATCCAGGAGCGTCACCTAGCCTACCAAGGCCCGTTCCAGGCGAGGTTGCTTGCTGATGCACGGGGTTGTTGGACACGTGCTGAATATGAAACCTAGCACCTTTCGGGTCAAGCCAAGCCAGATGCCCAACATGGCGCCAAGTCACGCAGATTTTTTAAGTGACGTCAGATGGAGTTCGTGGCGACATACAACAAAAATTTTCAAAACACGGACACAACTCACACTAATGCTGCATTCAAGCTGTTCAATGATTTCGCAGTATGCGTTGCCAGCCGCATTGACTCACCGACGATGCCATCCAGCGGGCGCGAAAACCTAGGCAGGTGTTGAGCCGCTACGTTCGGCATGGTCACATGCACGACATGTGTGGCATGATTCAGGATGGAAGATTGGGAACAAAGATGCTTAGCGAATTACTTCAGAACAAGCATGTGAAATGGAAGCTAAATCGCGCTTGAACCAGTGACGTACCCAGCTGCGTGGTAAGGATATTGGCGCTTCCTTCACGAAACATCGTGGCCGTACGGATGTGTCGTGACAGCACATGAACCCAACTTGTTCGTCACTTGGCGATCAGTTTCAAGCTGAGGTGGTCCCAGAATATGCCCCCAACAGACCACGTGTTTACCTTGACATCGCGATTGATGCAGCGCCAGTTGGGCGAATTGTGCCTGGACAGCTTGGCTGAATCCTGCTTCTCCACGAAACATCCAGCAGAACTGCTTGGAATTGCTTTGCGATTCATTGTGCCTAAGGTTTGCGAGCTTTTCAATGACGTCGTACCCCAAACAGCTGAAAACTTCCGCTGCTCGTTCACACGTTGGTGTCATGTGACGGTGGTTAAACAATGGTGTCATTGTTTGTGATGCAAGGCTTGCTGTGCACTGGCAGCAGGGGCATCGGCAAAAGAGGCGCATACACGAACCACAAATGTGAGCTCTGGGTTAAAGTAGCTGATCGTCGCGATGCTTAAAAGTCGTGAGCTGGCCAAACTTGTCCGGAGGTAAACCCCTTCATTACAAAGGCCAGCTGATGTCGCTTCTTCAGACGGATCCGAATTTGGCAGTGGGATTGCGTGGACTTGCCCCGTGCGTCCCTGCGTGCATGCAGGAGTGAAGTTCCACCGTGTTGTGCCCAATTTTGTGATCCAAGCTGGAGATTTCACTCATTGCCAACTCCTGAGCTTGCGGCACCTGCAATGTGATTATCGGCTATCCATTGCTTCCACGGAAGAGCGGTTCACACCATGTTGGGTCGAGGTGATGGCACGGGCGGCGAGTCCGTATATGGCCCAACCTTCCCAGATGAGAACTTGTGCCTTTGTTCGAGTAGAACAAGTTGATACAGGTAGCTTGCACTCAGCAGCCCTAAGTCACTTCAGAAGTTGCAAGTAAATCGTGATGAGGAACTTAAAGCACACCGCGCCGGGCATCCTGAGCATGGCCAACAGTGGTAAGGCCGAGTGGTTATTTGAATCGAAGGATGTTGAGACTTTGAAGCCGAATCTCGGGAACAGCTGTACTGAACTTACACACGCAGATCACGCTTTGGTCCCAACATCAGACCGCTCACACATTCCAGGACACGAACTCTTCTCAGTTCTTCATTTGCATGAAGGTCGGATGCTTAAAAGTCTTGTCACTTGTCTCCTGGTCTTTGGAAGTCTTCTCGGACGAAGAAAACGGAGGCCTGCCCACATCTGGACGGCAAGCACTGTGTCTTCGGCCGTGTCATCGACGGAATGGACGTTGCCAGGCTGCCGTCCTACAGCAAAGCCTCGACAGACTCCTTGGGATGTCGAGAAGTGCAAAGAGAAAGAAAGTGTTTGGCTTGCCGGTTGGCTGATGTTATCAAGCACGTGACCTGTAATTGAGGACCAACAGTCAGGTAGGCATGTTGCGCAAAAGCTGCTAGGCCAGGTCGGCCATGGAACAAAACGATCGAAGAAGGATCCAAGTACGCATCGTGATTCAAGCTGTGTTCCTGGCAGGCGTGTGGAGAATTGTGGACAAGACAACGGCGTGCCGACGGCTTCCGCCGTTGTTGATGACTGTGGCGCCGCTCGGCCGACGAGTACAGCAACCACCAGACTGCAATCAACATGGTGCTGTCCTGTGCGTCCAAGGAAATCAGGGGATCCGCAAATGTGGCAATCAGTGAGGAGTCGCGTTGACATACATGCTGTCTGCTTGGAATCAGGCTCGGCTTGGTGTGTTTCCTACCTGAGTCCAGAACTGCTTTAGGTTGGAAGCGTGGTGCACGTGACTGGGCACGATGTGATGGCCCTTGCTTTGGGAGGACTTGGCAGGCCCTGGCCTGGGCGATCGCGCGGCAAAGCGCCGCAAAGCAGCAGACCAACCTGGAGAGGCCGGGTGCAGCAGATGAGACAGTGAGAAGAGGGTGATGGTTGGGCCTATATAGGAGGCTGCTGTAGGGCCTCCGTCTCTAGAGACTTTCGCGAAAGACTGTGAAGACTGGGCGTTAGCGCAGTTGCCTGCCTGCCAGGTGCAGGTTTTGCACATCATCAAGAAGCACAGTGGGAGCAAGGAGCCCAAAGATGCCAACGGCCAGGACGTGAAGGCCTGGCTGCCGATGCGCCTGCCGGTGGGTCTTGGGTGACCTTGCAATGCCCGCAGGTCACGAAGGGCCGTGCAAAGCTGGCACTGGGAAACATTCGAAAGAAGTTTAGGGCCCAGTCAACATCATCGATCGTGGGCCGTGGGTTGGCTGTGGCTATGGCTGTGGCCGAAGCCTGTGTCTTTGATCACTCCACAGGCTTGCCACGAGCGGTGGCATGGCTCAGCAGCGTGCCTTTGCAACATTTGCAAGGCTTGAATCCGCTGGTCAGTGCCAAGCCCAAGCCTTCAGAATCCTTCAGATGCGTTTTTCCGTGAGGGAGCAATCGGACAGCGCTGCCGACGTCCAGAATGGCGGAGACCTTGGCAAAGTTACCTCGGGTCATTTGGTGCCAGCAGTTGAGGCAGGATGCACAAGACGAAGATGGCAAGCATGTCGTTAACGTGTGCCTCGGACTCTTCATCATCTGCTGCTGCAGGAAGTTGCATTCTCCTTGGCCCTGGGCGAAATATCTGAGCCTTTCGAGAGCCCCGAGGGCTTTCATATGCTAATGAGGATTGCCTAAGCCCAGTCGGCACCCAGCGGGGGTTGTCTGGAAGTGCAGGCCAGGGTTTGGAGCAGTCCAGCCGGATAATGACTAACGCAACAACGCAAAAAGCTGGATCTGTTCGCGAAAGCCTCCAGCTTGCTGGTCATCGGCTAGTGATCCACTGGGCTTGTTTCTGAAGTGCTGGTGGATCTCTTCTGAAATGCAGGGCCCGATTGGAAGGTGGGTCGGCGGCATTGGAAGGACTGCCTTCGGTGACGATGCAGCGGTCGATGTTCTGCTAATGAAGCGTAGAGGACTTGTGGTTGCTGGGACGACGTCTTGGACAACCAGGCAACGCCACGGTGTTTTTGCGACCGATCTCAGAGATAGTTTCACTTATGCCGCTTATGTCGCATGCACACGAAAGGAACCTGTGCTGGGCCGTCCAGAGGCAAAGCCCTCAGCATTGCCGCTTTTGCTGCGGGACTCTCTGCCGTTGGGGTGGCTCAGATTTGGCGACCTGGTGATGGAGGTCCTCCAGAGGCAAAGGCTTGCCCGCATAGCATCGCATAGCCCAGCATCACACCCAATGCTCGGATTTGCACTTCTTGACACATGGGACGGATCAACGGCTCACCGGCTAGGGATTGCTAGGGCTCTGTGTGGTAGGGATCTTGTGAAGGGCCCTGTTTTTCCAAAATCGCCTGCCGGCGAGGCCAGCCCTAGGCAGGAGACCTCTTGGCCAAGTTCAGACCTTAGAGCCTTGCCGCCCAGATAGTCAGGCAGTGATGTGAGAGCGTTGGATGACAAAAAGTGCATGAGGTTGGCGGACCGTGGCTCGGGGCCCGGGTGCGATCGTTTGTTCTTGTCCATGCATGTCTAATCCAAGGATGCAACCACTGCCTACATGGAGTGCCATAGCTTCAATTTGCAACTGAAGGGTCCCTGCTTCCCAATTCCCACCGACCTGATTGAGGGGTTCAGTTTCAGTTTCTTCCAGCCTAAAAGCTCTCAGTGAGGCAGAGATCCTCGCGACTTCGCTTTGGAGCGGGCCGCGGATAGGTCCGTGCTTTCCTCCGTTCAGAAATTCTTGCCGTGCTACCGAAGTGCAGGATGTGACCGGGGCCGACCCTTGCTGAAGGCAGTGGTTGATCACTTGGTCCGTGCGAGAAAAGCAAGAAGCCGCAAGAAAGGAAAACGTGCATAAGCTGCCCATGTGGCCGATGCATCTCGTTTGATTATGTTTGATTGTGGCACTCAAGGGGCCGGCTCACTGCAGATTTGGATGCCTTTGTAGCTGACAGGACCAGCATGAGGTCCACAATCTCGGCCAGTCAGATACTTGCAGAAAGAAGCCGAAGCCGCCCGTGCCCATGGAAGACAGGCGCTTGATCCATGCAGGCCCAGCCTAGCCACTACCACCCTGACGATATGAAGATTTCGGATAGCATCACTTGCTTCACTTGCTTCACGGAGGCTCATGGTCTCAGAGGCGGACCAGCCATCCCGCTGGTGCGCATCGAGGTCCGTCGACAAATGTTCTTCTGGTTGCCAAGCTGACACACGACACTTTCTGCGTCTCTTCCGGACCAGGTAGTAGAAAATCAGATCTAGCTAGAACCTAGCTGAGCGGATCGTGTAATAGGAAGGATTTATGCTGATTACCCGAGCGGGCATGCGAAGGTTTAAAGTTTAAACTTGGAGCTTGACAAGGGTTGGCATCCTAGCACTTTTTCGTACAAGCTGCTGGTGCGCAGGAAATCTATGATTCAGGCGAATCCGAGGCGCAGGGCCCTCATGGACTTGATCCTCCGTGCAATCCAGAAGGATGAGCTCGCTGTCAAATCGCTTGATGATCCAAAGGGAACTAGGACAATGCATAATTCCAAAGTAGCAGCAGCCACCATCACCTTCCCGAGGTCTGCAGAGCCACGGTCAGCAGCTCGGTCAACAGCTGGTCCTCCTGAGGAAGACGGAGAAGGCTAGCATGGTTCGATGTAGGACAGTGTAGGATGTACCAAGTAGCAGTTTTGGAAGGCTGCTCGACGCTGCTTCGCTCCTATGACGAGTTGCAGGTTCAGGATCTGCAGGCCACATCCTAGTGTGAGATCTAGAAGCTGATGAAACCCTCCGAGTGCTGATGAAGGATCTCCTCGTGCACAGGGAAGACGAGATTCAGGAGTTGCGCCACGTGATTGCCATGAAGGCAGGCTTAACTTGCTTCTTGATGAAGTTTCTTCAGGCGACGATGTGCAGTTGCGCCCCAAACCCGAAGCCCTGTTGAGGATCACGTCATCCGCTCCCTGGGAGAAGAGATCGGCTCTGCAGAGGCCACTTGTAGCTGATTGTAGCTTCCGGACGATCGGAAGGACAGGGTCCCTCGCTGTAAAGGTGGCTGCGCAGGTCATCTCGATGAAGGACGGGATGCATGTTCTTGCGCATCTCCCGGATCCTGTTCTACTGAGGATCACGTGATCCGAAGGTGCGGCACCTTCTCAACACGAAAGCGACTGGACGGTTCATTCTCTGTTCATCTCCTTCGCGGCTGTCAGGTTGCAAGAGGAGCTCGAAGAGACAAAGCAGTCAATCTTGGAGAGTTCCGGCCGGGGTCCTGGCAGGTCTCGGACAAGTTTAGCCGGGATGCCATCCCGGCGGCTAGTTTCGTTTCCCACTTGTGCTAGTATTTGCACATTGGCCGAGGCAATCTGGGGCAGATGACGGATGCCACAATGTTTACGGCCAGGAACTTGAGATTTGCAGACATATCCGTTGTGGAACGCCCCTTTCTGCACAACGATTTGAATCCAAAGAGCTGTCATCCTCAGTTTCCTGCTGTTTGTGTCATGTTTGATGCGAGGCTCTGCCAGTAGAAGTGAGCACTGTCCGGCACTTGAAATGGTGCTTGTAATCCTGCAGGCCGCTAGAGCTTTCGGTGTTGGTTTGAGCATGACAGAGGCCTACGTCCCTGCTGCCGGGGATGTGGTGGATGAAAGGATTGCCGACTTCAGCAATGGCAGAAGGACGCTTCTCCTTATCTGCAAAGCACTGGACCGTCGAACCTAAACCCTGAACCCTGAGCCATGCCTGCTTTGTGCGAGTGTGTGTGTGAGTCGAAACCCTAAACCCTAAACCCTGCTCTTTCCGAGTGTGAGCATCGAAACCCTGCTCTTCAGTTCGCCCAGAGGAATTTGGTTGAACCAAGTACTGCACAGAGCCAGAGCCCGCCGAAGTGCAGGAATTTGGTGATGTTTACGAAGTTGAAGGAGGAGGCCGGTCGAGAGTGCGCTGCAGAGAACGTGATTCGAACCGATTACATGGGAGTTTCCGAAAATTAGGGGGTATTAGGACTTTATTTTGGGTCCATATAATCAGGACCCTACTATTTAGGGTATTATATTAGGGTCCCCTATAGCTTCGGAACCCCCACATGATCAGTTTAGTCAGACAGTACTGACTTGCCATGTTTGGTCGTGGCCAACTGCCTCGTCCCTCGTCGCTTGCCTGTCACCCATCCCGCGAGTCCGTCCGCCTAAAGCCCTAAACCCGCTTGCAGGGTTATTACCTCTTCGGTCGGCTTCTGGTCCAATGCTTCGCCGAGAAGCAGGTTCGAAGCTGAGTTACGATGCACTGCAGGCATCACTGCCGGTGCCAGCTGACATGTCACAAAAGACGATCTCAAAGTCAAGTAGTGTAGTACTTCCAGAAGCGGTGCACGAAGGAGTGCGAAGAAATGTTACATGCGGGTCTAGCAGCCTTGAGGCTCAACGGCATCGAGCGGGAGTTCTGGTGCAGGAATTGGATAGCAGCTGCCTGAAGCAGAGGGCAGATTAGAGTCAGAGTCAAGGATGTCTGCGGAGAAGCCATTGCACTGAGGTGAGGATGTCTACGATCTTGAGGATTTCGTGCGAAGAGCCCGGCATTTTTCAAGATCCTGGCAGTTGGAAACCGCTTGTGATTGGTCAAGGGCACAATTCGAGCACCTTGAACACCAGCAGCTGGAGCAGCCGCCCAGATGAAATGGTCGCCTTTGGGGTTGCCTTGGGTTTGCTTCAGTGAGTGGTCGGGCACGAAAGAATCTAAAGACTACGAAGTTTGAGCTCGCCGTTCTTCCGAGGCATTTCCTGGCCGTGGCGCAAGGCACTGCAGGCTTCCGGGCTGGCTGGGCTCATGGGGGCAAGGCGATTGTGCCTCAAGCTGGTTCGTCTTCGACACTAGAGATTGTCGCGTGATGTTCTGTGGCACCTGGCTGTCTTCAGAAGCTCGTTCCTCGAGGCATCATGGAGCCAGTGACTCGACTTCGGCATGGCTAGCAGCAGCTGCCAGGGGCGTCTTGGTGAGCCAAAGTGCTCAGAGTGCAGGATGCTTAAGCCCAAAGTTTGGCAAAGCTCGCACGTCGCATGTGAGGGCTGTGCAACACATGCACCAGAAAGGTCGGGTGGTGCTGAAATTTTCATGGAGCAGTGCATGGGGCGGAGTGCGGAACCAGAGTTTTATCATCATTTTCGCGGAAGGTTTTCCGATACACATCGACTCTCAAGAAGCCGTGGCCACTTGGCCAAGCCAGATGGTTCCCGGATTGCAGAGTACTGCCTTGGACGAGCTGCCAAAGCATGAGCGGCAAGGGGCGAAAGGGCGGATGGGGTGAGCAGAGCTTCCCTGTGAAAGGCCAGAAAGGCCAAAAGGGCCAAAAAGGAAAGGCGACATCGAGCTCCGGGTATTTTGAGGACCAGCCAAAGGGTCGGAAGGGGAAGTCGGACTCGTGGAGCTCTGACAAAGGCGACAAAGGGCGTGGATCGGACCACATCCTCGTCCCGACTCCATGCGCGGACACCGGCAGAGCCCGCGAGGTGCTCTGGCCAGGCTCCCCGGCCGGCCCAAAAACATCATCGCAAAAGGTTTCCCTTGTCCGGCCCTATAGCTTCGAGCTCTCGACCACTTTTGCGTTGCACACGGCCGTAGGCCGTAGGTTTAATTTTGAACTAGTGTTGCACTGCGGACCTGTGCTCTTCACTTCCTGTACAAGAATACGCATTTTTGCGTCGAAAGCCACCCCTCTTCTCTTTTACGGTTGTCACCACGGCCATGGTTGCAGGTGGCGCGGAGTGTGGCCGGGAGCAGGACAGCGAGTCAGCCAAAGTCTTCAACCGCAACCACTTACTAGGTGGAGTGGGGGAGCTGTACTTCGAGGTCTCCGGGCAGTTCCGTGTCTGCCAGTGAATCCGGGCGGGGCTTTCGGAGCGTGTTCATTCTTTGAACGAAAGAGATCGACGGAGTCTCGATTCGGTTTTTTGATGCATTCGGCACCAAGGTGCCGCATTCAGCTTGTCGTTCCTGCTTCAACCAAGATGTCATTCGTCGACCACAAGAACTTCGATGTACCTGCAAGGGTTGCAGACCGCGACTTCAAATCTGTGAATCATCTCCTGCAAGAGATCGTGGAAATACGGAATCTTTACAACAATTGTGATGGGTCAGGTCGGCTGAGCCCCGACCATGAGAAGCTGATGAAGGCAGTATTCTCATATCATCCCGACGCCGAGCGGAAACTGCAAGGAATGCAGTTCATCAAGGTTGGCCCAAACAGCAGATCTCACAAGCCGGATGACAGTTGTTTCTACATCATGACCAGCGCCGAAGATGGCGATGACATTAGCTACATGAAGTGCTTGAGACGAATAAGTGAACTGGCAGTGCAAGATGCATCTGGCGAACATGTTGTACCAATAGCTGCGGTAACCTCCAAATACGAGGGCGTATGCGTCCAGATCGGAACATTCGATGTTCTGGTTGAGCCCGGGAGTCCCGAGGCCTTTGGCGTCCATGTTGAGTTGAGCCGCAAGCTGCTGTCCGTACACACGAAGGCCAGAATCTACGGCCCCTGGGTCCTGGAACATGGCAGTGATACCAGGTTGATGATCATGGCGGATATGGCCCAGGATGAGGTGGCCATCTCCTGGAAAGCGCCGTTTGACGTACGTGCACACGACAAGTTGCAACCAGATGGTGGTCTGGCTCTGGCCCAGGTGGCTCCGTCTCTGCGGGTTTGCTTGGACGCGCTTGCCGACCGGGCCGGTGTTCCTGGAGCGTTCACGGCGTCCTCGGAGGAAGAGATGCAGCTGGCCGCTGGCCAGATCTTGAACAAGGTGCTGGCTGCTTCGACCCAGCTCGCTCGCTCAAAAGCAGGGGCATCGGCACAGATTTGCAGTCTTGATGCAATGGCAAAGCACCAGTCGTACGAGTTGCTGCAGGAGCAGTTCCGCAACTCGCAAGCGAATCTACAGGACGCGTTGCATGATCGAAACATGGCGCGCTCGGCTCTGGAGAAGCTGCAAGACGAGCTGGCAACGCTCAGGCGCAGTATCTTCCCGCCGCAAGATGCAAGAACGGAAGGCACGGGCCGAGACCCACTAATCACAGATGAGTCAGGAAAAGGTGGTCACGATGGCCACCTGCAAAGCTACCATGCAGGGGGAGATGCCAGCATAGAGGCCTTAAGCCAGGAGCTGCGTGAGCATCTCCCGCAGCCAGCGGCTACTATGCTTCGCAATTCCTTGAGGCTCATGTCCAGCGAACTGTACTCCGGTCCTTCCCGAGCTCTTTGGGAGCTCCTTCAGAACGCAGATGATTGCATGTATGCGGGCACACCTCCTCATCTCACCATTGTAGAGGATCCTCGGTATTTGTGGCTGGAATACAATGAGACGGGCTTCACTTTCCAAGATGTGAAAGCGCTATGCAGTTTGGGTCTCTCACTGAAGGGACCGGGGCAGACAGGGCACAAAGGAGTTGGGTTCAAAGCCAGCTTCGTTTTGTCTTCAAGGCCTCACATTCTCTCCAATCCCTTCAGGTATCCTGAGGCAACAGCAATGGGTTTAGTTCTTGGTAAGAACTGGTAGGTCGGTATCCTGAAGTATCAGCTGTGCTTCTGTCCTTTGTGGACAGAAGACCCAGGTTTTTCTTCGACGACGGGGCCGACTGCATCCTACCGCATGTCACACCCCATCTGATTCGACCAAGCACGTCATTTCCACGAGAACCCCCATCTGCTGGCACGGCTGTTTACCTACCCCTGCGCAAGCCTGTGCCCGATCTACTCCAAGAAATCGTGCCAGCCTTACTGATCCGGTACCTACGATTTCGCTTTCGAAGTCCCAGGTGGCAGACCCAGCTGTGCAGCTGAGGTGCCATCGACGTTGCTCTTCCTGCGCCAGCTGCGCTCTCTGTCGCTGGAGACTGCCGGTCGCACGTGCATGTACGAGCGCAGAGGTGGGGATACGGGGCCTGTGGAAGTGGTGGAAACCGCAGAGACGAGGCAGCAGCATGGGTACCACCTTGCACGGGGCTCAAATCCGAGCATTGCTGTTGCGTTTCCTTTGAACAGAAACACTGCAGATGCATCTTGGATTTCGACCACGCTTCCTTTGTGCGCACTGCCGGGCTTGAAGACGCCACTGGATGCGCCTTTCGATCTGACAGCAAATCGAGAAGCCCTGCTGGAGGGCAGCGTGCGGAATGCGGCCCTGCGGGATGCCTTGGCCGAACTTTGGCTCAAGGCTGTGGAGGAAGCTCAGGAGGGCTCTGCGCTGGCAGCACGCGCCTGGACATTGCAGCCAGGTCCGGAATTGGTACAACTGCCGTTTTGGTCGCCCTTCCTGCATAGGGTGCGATCTGGCCTGCAAGAGATCTCCTTGGTACCTGTGCGTGCAGGCACGGAAAGGTATCTTCAATTTCACGACGATTTCACGATGACGATGCCCTGAGTTAGGAAGTGGAACGTGGTCCCGAGAACGCCCGTACCATCCTGATGCTTAACACTCTTTGGGTTTTTAGGTTGCCACCTTGTCAGATTCTTGAAGCCTCAATGCTGAGAACCGTTGCAGCTGCGTTCGAAGTACAGCTGCATAACGGGCTTCCGCAAACGGGCAAGTTCACTGGATTTGCTTTATGTTGTTCTTGGGGGCCCAAGTCCAACTTAGATGCCCACATACTTGTGTACAGTAAGCGAGCACGCGAGCAAACATACACAGAAAGATAAACGCTGGAAATGCATCACAAACATCAAGGACGCATAAAGTTTTACAGAATTCACATAAGCTTGAACCAAGCAATCATTCAATCAGTAGATCGATAACAAGAATAGGGCAGAAGAGACTAAAAAAGTTTAGCTGGACATAGATAGACAGATGCACGTCACGTAGCTTTACAGATACATGTGTATAACTTCACACCAATACACAAGTAAACGGAACCTTAAACAATACATGCAAATAGTTCTGGGTAGAAAGTAAGAGCTCAAATTTGCGGAAGCCAAAAATACAAACAACATGTCATGTATATATGTCGGATACGTTGCCCGCACAGACTGTCGAGTACGAGTGCCAAACATATGTGTCCATATTCGACTTTTTGTGTGTGCATAAGTGTATGCCTATGTATATGTACATGCCTGTCTATAATATGTTTGAATATTCACGTGGGTTTATGTGTGTATGTATGTATCTTTGTTTGTCTTTATCCGTATGCGTACTTCGTATATGTGCTTATGGGTGTATACGTATATGTGTTTATGTACATGATCATGTACATGTATATGTACGTATGTACGCATGTATGTATGTATGTATCTATGATGTACATACATGTACAAATGCACACACATGAATGTATGTGCATACGTACATAACACGCATATACATGTATATGTAGGTTTGTTTATGTATTTACATATGTACATATTGATATGTATACATATATACACATGTACATATACATGTACATGTAAATGTGTGTATGTATATGGACATGTATATGTATATATATATATATATATATATATATATATATATTATATGCATATATCTATGCATATATATTTATATACATATATACATATATATATATATATATACATATATATATATATAAGTTTTGTATTACACATGTATGTTTGCATACGTGTGTATAGGTACATGCATCTCTACACATATATCTAAGCATTCTTTGGTATCGATAATTACGTACCTATACATGATAGCATATGTATACCAGTTATGTATATATGTACGTATGTATGTATGTATGTATGGGTGTAAACGAATGCAAGTACATACATACGTGTACATGTGTTTATATACATACATACGTATACATAGATACGTATATGTATATATACTCATGTACATACACACTGACTTTTTTTCAGAATAATTATGCCAAGGTAGACTCCACGCCATGAAAGATCACGTAGCAGTCCAAGCCCGAAAAAATCCGAAAGCACCTTCTTCAGTTGAAGAGGGCAGCCCCCACCACACACGCGGCAATGTGGGGGGCAGCATGACTTCAAACGCGGAAGCGGACCCGACTCTGGCGAAAACTCGCTTTGTTTGGAGGCGGACAAACGAGTCGACACCTGTCGAGCAAGCACGATTGCCAACCAGAAAGCTCCAGAACGCATTGGAATGGCTCCGGGGAGCCGAAAACGTGTGATTTCAGCGACATCGTGCGATGCGAAGACCAGAATCCACAAACACCCAAAACTATGCACTCCACCTACCGTGGTGCGAGGGCGAGCATCAAGTTGGGAAGCGCCAGAGCATGAGACCGGAGCATGGGACCGGTGTTCCCCGCGGGCGCGACCCGTCAGGACTACTGTTTGGGAAACGTGTGGGTGTATATACGTATAAATATATACACATTTTCCAAAAATTATGCATATGTATATGTGTATGTGTACCTCTCTGAATCTTTAGGAGCCACCCCAAACATCGCTTGACCTGGTCGAGCGAGAATGTTAACAAAAAGTGTATGCATATCCATATGTAGATATATTCTGAATGGTTGACACGGCATTGCGGCAGACCTGCATATACAAGTAAGCACAACAAATAGTCTTCGATACGTAGGTGCAGATGTATATGCATATACAACATCAATGATATTGTTGTTCTGTGTGTGCACACCACAGTTTGTTACCTGTGTGTAGTATATGTATGTAGACATACCAACGTGTGCATACATGTGCATCTCGCACTCGCACACACTCACACACACATACATACATACATACATACATACATTCAGACATGTATGCATACATACACATACATACGTACATACATACACGTACATACATGCATGCATGCATACATACACAGACAGCCAGGGCGAAGACAAACAGACAGGCCGACCGACAAACGGACACGCATATGCATATCTTCATACGCATGCAAAATTTCATGTGTATCTGAAAAAGTTCTGTGTACATTTATTTATGTACATATGCTTAATTGTAAATGTATATATGTTTTGATGATTTTTGATGTATATATGTACCTGTGTATATGAATATGCATACACACACTATTCAGTACATACAGATTTACATGTATATGGACAACATGCATATATGTTATGTGCAAGTACGTGTATCTGTATATGGGCCTGTATTTGTAACATTGTTTCTGCATTTGTATGTGTATACCTATATGCAAAGGTATGTGCGTATGTATAATATGTATTTTCATCTTGTACATGCGTGATCTGCCGTTAGAATATCTTGAACTGTAGGAGTTAGGAAGATAGATAGCACATGATACATAAACCCTAAACCCTAAACCCTAAACCGTCTTGGGAGGTCACGGCCAGGCCCGACGGCTGCCAGTGACACGCTGTCGGAAAGCGGAGTCTCGGCTCTTGGGTGGCTTGGCTGCGTACGGTGGTGTCGACTTTGCATCAAGGGTCCGGGATGTGAAGAACATGAGGGGAGTCTGTGACCCGGGTTGGTGGTCTTTGTTGCTTGATTTCACGTCTTCGTGTAGACCATTATGAACCATGATTTGTTTGCAGAGGCCCCCTTTCTCTGCATGTAGTCTGGAGGGAACCTTTTGCCTGAGGAGAGCTCGCATTGGGACCCGAAGAGCTGCAGCTGATGGGCTTGGGCATACCGTCCCCGGAGTACTTGTCGATCGGCCTGCACAGAGCGTCCTTGTGACAGCTTGAAAGGGGAGGGAACCAGGGACCAGGGAACATTGTATCAGCTTTTCATGTGCAGCGGCCTGCATCCAGGACTCAACTTCCTGAAGGCACGGATCTTGGGCTCCGAGACTTTGGGGTTCTCGACCTGCTTCAGCTCCTGAGCCTCCAGAGCAGCAGCGGTGAAGGCTCTCCGTGGCAGGCCCGTGGGGTTGCCAAACGTTCGATTCGAGCTTTGTGGGTCCGCTTGCTCCAGAATCGATTCGACTCGCTTCGTGGCTGGTGTGTGCTTTTTTTTTTGTCGCAGGCTAGGGGCAATCGATGGAGACAGAAGGTGGTGCAAGAATTGGCGTGGCACAAGCACGACATCGATACCATGATGCTGCGAAAGGTTCCTCTCTTCCCACTAGCGAAAAGTGATGGCACGGGTGCATGGGCTGGACCGGATTCAGCATCGCAGTGGGTGGCCTGCGAGGATGGTAACATCTTCTGGTCTTTGCCGAAGGGCGCACCAAACGGCATTCTCCGAGTGCTTGATTCAGTGCAGGGTTGCCGTGAGGACAGGGATCTCCTGAATCTCCTTGGGTGTGGATTGGCCGCCCAACCGCGGGACGTTGCCTATGCCATCGTGCAGGAGAACTTGGGCCTATCGACTATGGAGGAAGCCTGCGGCCCCTGGCAGTTTTTTCCTTCGGTGAAATTTCTGACTTAGATACTGGTGTAGGGTTTCTCAAAACATCCTACTGGCAGGATCTGCGCTTCTCCTGGTCAAAGCTCGCGTACTTGGGCAGGCACTGGGAAGAGATTTTGTCAAGCAGTGCGACCGAGAAGTGGCTGTCGGACCAAACTCCGAAGGAAATGGAAGCCCTGCTCCGATCAGTTCTGGTTCCATCTCGTGGTGGTGGGGGCCGGCTCCGCTGTGATGCCAGGGAGTTGCGGTGCCCATTCTTCCTTGGCTCCCACCCACTCCGAAGCAACTCTGGGGACTCATCGGATGAGCCAAAGGATGTGGTCTTAGAGCCACCGCAGACAAATGGTGTGAAGGCCAGGCTTTGGTGGGAGCTCGTCTTCCTGCGCTTGGGTGCGTGCCCGTGTGTGGCCGGAGTTCGGCTGCCGAAGGGTCTTTTCGCACTTCCTGGAATCGCGGGAGAACTGCAAGCACTTCTGAACTTCTATACTCACGCGAACATTGATCTGGAGGAGCTGCGCGGCCAATGCCAGATAGAAGACCGCTCAGGTCGCATCCGTGCGGTAGGCCGTGAGCCTGAGAAGCGGAAGTATTCGGAACGTCTGCTGGGACCGAAATTCGTCCAATTTGCTGGTCCCGAGTTTGTAGTGGACGTGGAGGAGTCAGCAGAGGAGTCAGCGGAGCTGAAGCGCTTGGCTGAGCAGCTGCTGGCAGTAATCCTTGATCCGACGTGTTTCGTGCTGCTTGCCTTGCTACGCCGCACTGTGCAGCAGGAGTCTCGACATTTGCTCGCAGTGTACAAATTCCTGGCGACTGCGTGGGAAAACGGCGAGCTTCCGCGAGAGTGCGCTGAACTTGAAGCTCTGCGCAAAGAGGGATTCTGGATACTGACTGAAGATCGCAAGATCTGCCGCAAGCTGCCTGGAGAGGTCTGTCAGGAAGACGTCGAGCGGTTAAGTGCTGGAGAAGCACAGCATGGAACGATGCTGGACTTTTTCGTGCAATGTCTTGGCGTTGCTGTCTCTGCTCAGCCCGAGCCTGGTGGGCCCCAGGCTCCTGGCAGCCACGAAGACTTTGTGAAGCGTGGAAAACCGACCAACAACAGTGAACTGGCAAAGAAGGGGCCAGCTCGGGATGATGCCCCGAAGCATTTGCCGTCACAGGGCACCAGCTCATCGGGCACGAAGATGCCTCCGCTGCCTGCTCTTCGCGAAGGCGCTGATACAGAAGTTGAAGAGACGGCCGATGCAACTTCCGTACCATTCCGACCTCTGCTGGCTGAGCTTCCGCTGCTCAGCAAGCTCCTAGCAGATATCTACAAGGAATGTGGGGGGGATGAGCATCTCTTCGGCAGCATGGTGCCTGCACGCAAGATGGTTCGTGTGTCGGAAATCAGGTTCACGCAGACCTCCGTTGCTGGCAAGTTCATCCACGGTCGGTTTAAAGGACGCAGTGTGGAGGCAGTGGCCAAAGACCTAAAGAATGGCAAGCTGACACCGGCTGACCTGCCACTAGCTGTGGCACGGTTCCACTCGTCGTATTGGACGTTGAACAACCGCAGCTTATATGTGCTGAACAGTGTCTCCCGCCAAAGAACACCGCTGAATGCTTCTGTGGCGGAATACAAGCTTTGCCCAGTCACCGCCAAGTTTCTTCAGCTTCGATATGGCTCACTGCTGAAGCAGGACGTAAAGGCTATTTGTAGGTCCCAGGCTTCCGACTCGAAGGAAGAGGACCCCGAGGCTGCAGTGCCCGCGGATGTCGATCCGCCGATCTGGGATTCGGGGGACGAAGCACTCTTGGAGAAGGGCATGGTGTGGACATAGGTTGCTGAATGCGACTGCCAGCCTGTCATAAGTGTGAGTGAAGAGTGTTCGAGGCGGCGGCAAAGCAAGGTGCGAGAAGAAGTTACGCGTTGCATCCTCGGCACTTCGCAGAGCTGCCTTTGAAGCGGCTAACCGGTACTGGGTTACATGACTTTCGTCATTTCGATTGTGCAAGTTGCGCCCGGCGTCCGCATCACCGCTTGCTCATGCACTCAAGCATTTGTTTAACTAGGGCCCAGAGCTCAGCGCACACCCTCTTCCTTGCCATGGCCCCAAAGCGCAAGGCGGCGGCCAAGCGCGAGCCCGAGCAAGCCGTGCTGCAACTTACAGAGCAACTCTGGGATGTCGTGATGTCGTGGAGAACGCGAGGCCTGCAGAAGAGCCGCTGGCAAAGCAGAATGCTTCTGGGTTGCGTCTGACATGTGGGCAGGTAGAGGACCCGTTGGATGGGGCTTCGTTCATTTCATGTAAGGCCACTATTCTGAAGAAGCTGGGTGTATCGCAAAGAAGCTTCCCGGCGGCACGTGAGTGGGACAGAGCCGCCACGGCCGGAGTTTGGGCTTGTGAAGCATCCTTCGTCAAAGGATCAGCGGACCTTTCTGACCTGCTTGAGAAATCTTGAGAAAGATGCGACAGTAGCAGCCGCAGGTGGTTCTGTCGCAGCGGCTTCATGCTGTGAGGTATTATGGAGCCGGTTGCCGCTACAACTGTCCAAGAGTTGGAGAGACTTTCCAAACCCATGAGCCCAGGTTTCAACAAGGTAATGGAGGCTTTGACTCATCCTCTTGCAGAGATTCCAGAGGACCCGCCCGGCATTGGGTAGCTGGTGCTGTTCGGAGATTTGCTAGAGGCGGTGTAAGGATATCACCGAGAATCACTACAGGGTTCGGAGCAGGCTTGCGCATTGACTTGTGAGTAATGCGTGTTTTGCGTATTTCTTTCGCAGAATGCTTGATTAACTCAAGTTGGTGATTTCTTTCGAGGCGTGCCAGCACATGCTGTTGGCTGGCTTGGCGCACAGCCTTTGCGTGCCGGTGGATGAGCGCCAGGCGCTTGGCTCATCAGCAGGAAGTAATTTCATTATAGTTATTACTATAGTAGTAGTGGTAGTAGTAGTAGCAGTAGTAGTAGTAGTAGTAGTAGTAGTAGTAGTAGTAGTAGTACTAGTACTAGTACTAGTACTAGTACTAGTACTGGTAGAAGCAGCCGCAGCAGCATTAGCCGCAGTAGGGCCAGTGTTTGGTGTGGGCTTTGTGTGTTGACAATCATGGTGGCGATGATGGTGAGGCTGCTGTTGACAGGTTTCAGCCAACAAGGTTGGCAGTAGCGGTAGTGGCAGCAATCGGGAGCATTGACACCGGCCTTGAGCCATCCTGCGTCCGAAGGCAGTTTGCAGTTCTCTTTCTGCTTGCGCTTATGCTCTGCTCATGCTGGCATGGTTTGGCTTCACCCTTGGCATTGCCGTTGAGATATCAAGGCCTCCCCCTCAACTTCAACCCCTCCCACAATCCGTGTTATCATGGCCGTGCAACTGCAGCTGGTCGACCGAACGGAGATGGCAGGCTGGATATCGGGAGCGTCACGTGTCACCCCACAGAAATAGCAGGCATGCTTACTGCCGTGCAGCGGCAGTTTTGGAACGACAGGTGACGTGTTGAGTTGTTTTTCTGGAAGGCATCCGGCATTTTTGCAACGCAACACTTCGAGTTGCAATAAGTCCTTGGATAGGGATTCATTGGAAATCGTAGCACGGTACGCTCCAGGTATTGTTTGGTACCACATCCGGGTTGTCGAGAATGAGAAGGAGTGGTTGGTGAAGAAAACCTACGATGAGTTTGCACATTTGGATGCAATGCTTTCGACACCTACATCACCCTTTGTGAGACTACCTCTCCCTGAGAAAGGCAGGCTTCCCTGCGTCTTCCCTTCCATCATTTTCTTTGTGAGTTTTTGTGAGGTGTTCGTATTTCTACAGTCAGCAGTGCGGGTCGAGCTTCGTCGATGTTGGCATGTTGATCGTCTTGATGCTGTTGCTGGTTCTATTGTCAGGCTTGGCTTCTTGTTGACAGGTACCTTCGGTTTCCGAGCAATGTTCGACATCGGTGACTTCAACCAGAAGCGACGAGTTGGCCTTGCCAACTACCTGGCACGACTTGCGCAGCAGTTGAAATCCCTTGTTGCGAGGTTTGCATTTCTCAGCTCGAAGCGCTTGTGTAGGCTTATATAAGGGACACTTCGCTCATCCAAGGCTCAGCTGCCAGCGCTACAGCAATGGTTGCAGCCGGCAGCAGCGCCGGCTTACGCACCGGCCTACGCCCAGGCAGCAGTAGCTGCTCCAGTGGCCAACCCAATAGTCGCACCGGCTGCCATGCCGGCAGTTGCCGTGGCCTATCCCCAGGGACCAGCAATGCCTGCTGCGGCAGTTGCAGTTGCACAAGCCCCGATTGATCCCACGCAGGCAATGACCGACATTGCCCCCTCGGCTCCAGCATTGTCACCCGAATATTCGCAACCATTAGCGAATCCAGCTGTTCAGCAGGCAGCACAGCCTGTTATGGCAGTGCCTGTGGCTGCGCAGCCACAGCAGGAAGCCACGCCTTCCCTCGGACATGCTGTGCCAGCGCAAGCGGTTGTCCCTCAGGCACAGCCTGCGGTGGGGCAGATTCCTGTGGAAGCTCAAGCTTTCACAGCACCGGGGCAGCCTGTAGGACAGGCGGTGGCGGGCCAAGCGATGCCTGTGCCACAAGCCGTGCCGGTAGAAGCAATTCCAGCACAAGTGCAGCCTGCCATGGGGCAGGCGATGCCTGCGACAGGCCAGGCTCTACCAGTGCAGGCCATGATGGGCCAGACACAGCCTCCAGCGGTGCAGGCTGTGGCAGCTCAGGCTTTGCCGGCAGTGGGCCAGCCCGTCGTGGGACAGGGAGCAGTTGGGCAGGCCGCACCGGTGCAACAAGCCGTGCTTGGGCAAGCCGTACAAGGCATGCCGGTGCATGCTCAGCCTGTGGTTGGGCAAGCAGCTGTGCCAGGACAGGCTTTGCCAGTGCAAGGACAGCCTGTGATGGGACAAGCGGTGCCAGTCCAAGGAACACCTATGATGGGCCAAGTTCCGATGGGCCAGGCCGTTCCGGTGGGCCAAGCCATTCCGATGGGCCAAGCCGTTCCGATGGGCCAAGCCGTTCCGGTGGGCCAAGCCATTCCGATGGGCCAAGCCGTTCCGATGGGCCAAGCTGTACCAGGACAGGGCATGCCTACGTCAGTGCAGGCCCAAGGATGCGCACAAGGAGTGCCCGTGCACGGGCAGGCCTTTCCTGGGGGCCAGTCGAAGTGCCGTGCTCAGTTGCACTTCCGCTTCTGGTCTCAGTGGCCGCTCTCTGAGTTACCAGAAAACGGAATATGTAGAGAGCACAGGCGCCCCCCAGAATTTATACGAGAAAGAAGGGTTTAGGCCTGCTCTCACCCCGTCTCCAGGCCAGGCTTTGGTCTTGATGGTGCGAAGCTCGCGGCTGGCGTGGCTGGCGCTGCCGGACTTGCGGCTGGGCTGGGCGCCATGCTCGGGGTCCACCGTTTCCTGGCTTTCCCCCTTTTTCTAGAGATTTTGCTTAGGTTCGTGTTGCTTCTGAAGGATGGGTTTCGGTTCGGCCAGCCCCACACATACGTCGACCCAGTTCTGCCAAAGACCTGCTGGAGGCATTGAGTATACTCGTACATGCCATCAAATCGTCAATGTCATTCAGCGAACAGTGGGCATCAGAAGCCCCGCACGTTCCTTTGGAGTGTTCAGAATAGTCGCGACAGCTTTCATGAACTGCAGGCACTGGCCACGATTATGATTCTGGACATCAGTCTGGGTATGGTTCCGCTGGCTTCGCTGGCTTCTCCGGCCACCACCAGGACCATCACCATCACCAGCAAGAGTGGGGATACAACCGCCACGAGCACCATCACCACCACGAAGGGCGCTGCTTCAAATGTGAAGGTACAGGGTGTTTCCTCCGTGAACGATTAATTTAGGATTGGGCAGCCGGCAGCTTGCGGAACCTTGAAGTTCACGTGCTGGGTTGAAAGTGCCGGGCCGGTTGGAACATGTACCGCAGCCCGGCAGGTCGAGGCTTTGTCCATGACTCGTCCATGAACCACGACAAACCCTGGGATGAGCTTCTTGGCCGCGTTGCATGGGGTGTTGAAGAGTTGTGCCTTCCGGTAACTCCGACCCTGACCATTGCCGTGGACATTGCACAGCGTCCGTGGTTTTGCCGCTTTGCCTCAGGCGCTGCTTCTTCTGCAAGGACTGTTCCGGTTGCAGTGGCAGAGGCCACATCTCTCAGGGCCATGGCGGCTTTGGAGGCTGCCTTGCAAAAATACCAGCCCGAGACATTCGGATGGGCTGATGGGCATTGAACTCTTTGCGTGGCGGATATCCAGTGACCTCATTAGTCATTAGGTCATTAGGTGCAGCTGCAGGTGCCATGCTTGGAGGCTTCGGCGGAGGCAAGGAGCGCTGCTACAAGTGCCATGGCCGCGGCTTCTCGCACGACTCCTCCATGAGGCATGATAAGGAAGCCTGTCAAAAACAGAACGGACAAAGGGTGTGCCTACGACCCTACGATGCTTGATGTCAACCTTCGACCGAGGATGAAGACGAGAGGTGTTTCTTCTGCACAGACTGCACTGGCTGCAATGGGTCTGGCCACATCTCTGGTGGTGGCCTCGGTGGCTTCTTTGGAGGCGGTGCTCAGCGATGCTATAAGTGTGATGGCCGTGGTTTTTCCCACAATTCTTCCATGAACCATGACAAGGACCTGTTCGCAACAACATGTAAATGTAGCATAATGTATTTATAACTGGTCGTGTTGTTTTGCGGTGTCTCTGTGTGTTATTGTGTTCGCGGGCAGGTTGCTCTGCATTGAGTTGAGAGACCAGCAAGCAGATGCACACAGGACAGCGATGAGAGGTGCTTCTTCTGCGAGGACTGCACCGGATGCAACGGGAGAGGTCATTTGTGAGATTTCAATCGCACATGAGCCGAAAGCTCAGTGATGTTTGTGAATGCCAGTTATGGGGATTTTTTCCAGCGTGCTGAACGGGGCCTTTTATGGGCGTCTTGCTATGTTCCCTAAGCCTCGGGGGCTTGTTGCGCTACTCCTCCGCTCTTGCTGCTTGAGCTCGAGGGTGGATCTGCTCGAACGGTCTCCGATCAAGTAGGACATGCTTGCCTGTGGTGCGGTCCATGCAGGATTGTGCTGGTAGAACTTGGCGGGAAAGTCTCGGATCGTAAGTGTGCAGAGGTACTAGTCAGTTCCCAAGGGGGTTCTGATCACGCTGCCCAGCCGCAGTTGCCAGCAAGCCAAAGACATGTCCCAAAGTCCACGAACCCGAACCCGCACTCGCAGTGGCTTAAGTCGCGGCCAAGCTTATTTTGCACTGCGCCTGTCTTGAAGAGACCGGTTGCAGAACGAGAGGTGCGGACTCCGAGTGCTTGAAAAGCGGCTCTTGCCAGCTCGGAGGTTGTGTGTCCCGGCCCGGGTGCCGAGAGCGACTGCCCAGCCCAGAGCCCAGGCCATGAAGTTCAGAACCAAGTTGTCACTATGATTGAGGAGGCAGGGACATGGAGTTTCGGGAGCCGGTGGTAGTGCTGTCGCATCGACCCGGTGTTCCGTCTGCCCTTAAGAAGCCTCCAGGTCAAAAGGTTTACCTGACAGCATTTCCTGCACCAGTTGTACATACAAGCTAACCTACATGAATATATGAATGTATATATATGTATATATATATATATGTATGTGTGTGTATGTATGTATGTATGTATGTATATATATATATATATACACATATCTATCTATCTATCTATCTATCTGTCTATCTATCTATCTATCTATCTATCTATATATATATATATATGTATATATATATATATGATTCGCAAGATGGATCGTTCGCGGGTGCTGGGGTGTGCTTTGCGATACTTTGCAGGTTCGGAACCTCCCTTTAGAGAGGAGCGTATCAGGAGGGGCAGTGAGATTTTCGCGGTTCCAGGCGTGTTCTTTTCTTCCGTCGCCGGGCTCCATGCTTAGGGTTTGGGGTTTAGGGTGTATGCAGGCATACAACCAAAGCCCGTGCTGAAAAGGGTATGAAGGTTTGGTTTCGCGCTTGGCTCGAGACAGTGTGCTCAGAGGGTAATCTGGCTTCACACGCGATGGCGTATTACACTGCCGCCACTGACATGGCGACTGGGATGATCTAGCCCAACTCGCCGCTTTAAAGTAGCCCCCTGGATAGGGGTTCGTTTGATTGTCTAATTCTGCAGGGTCTTCTTTTGGAAGTCCCACTGTTGCTATCGAGGAATGTGTGGTTGATGAGGACGTTCAGGACGAGAGCGGAAGCCACGAGGAGCCATGGAGTTTGTACCGTTTTGGGTGGTCTGTCGCTTGGTCCTCCTCCAAGGAGGCTGTAGCCGATGAGTACGGCGGTGATCAGGACCCACTCTTGGCCCGTCTGGGCCATTCCTTGTCAGCTTCGCAATGGCGTGCACGAGAGGAAGAGATTCCGAGCGACGAGCTCTGCAACCATGGCGAGGTCTGTCTGTTGTTCCTGCTGCCAGAGTGGCTCAAAGCTTGTCGCCACGCAGGAAGGAGATCAAGCCGAAGAGGGAGAAGAGGAAGAAGTTGAAGAAGCTGAGCTGGAGCCTGCCGCTGCCGAGGCTGACCAAATGTTCCACTGACGGCAGTTGAGAAGTGCTAGGTTCACCCGACATGGTCCAGGGTGGCAAGGGACGGCTGAGGGGTAATTTCATGCTTTTGGAGGAGTTCCTCGAAAGCGTCAACGATGCGCAGGCCTTGATTGCGTTGTCATGCCGGCAACGTGCAGTAATCAGTAGTTTCTTCCGTCGTGCGAAGCAGCGTCGCTGAACACTTGTACCTTGTGATGTGCTGTCGCATGCTGCATGGTCCCAATGGTCCCCTGTCGTAGGAGGAGTTGGAGGGCCAGGGGGATGGAGAGGCTCGGGCATTTGCCAGCGTTTTCATCTTTAAGCTTGGGACGTTGAACCGGAACCGGAGTTGCCTTTGCCTGCGAGCTGGCCTGCGATCGATCTTGACTGATTCCGGCTACGAGTATTTCAGTATTTCCTACACTTTCCATTTGCCTTCTATGATCCGTGGTAATGGTCCGCAGGTCCATGATGAAGAGGAAGCACCTGCCATTGAAGAGCTTTCGGTGGAGGTCAGCCCAGCACACCCCCCTTCGGAAAATGGGCGAATCAGAGCCGTGGTAGCAGGCAGACGTGACTCAGCTCGAGCAGGAAGAGGAAGCTCCAGATCCGAATGTGGAGGCCCTGGGTCATAAACCCAACTAGCACGGGTCGTTTGGATGACTACAGTAACCTTCAGCCTCATACCAAGAAGCCGAGAGAAGGCGAAACCGAAGCGTCCGCTTTAAAGACCAGACCAGAGCAAGACATGTTGAACTGGATCGTTTCATCTTCTTGGCTGCGGATGAGGAAGCGGCAGAGGACATGACCCACTTTTCCAAACAGGGCGAGCAATCGTTGCCTCATACTTTCCAGGCTAGCGGCTAGAGAAGCTTGTGGAAAGCATCGTGGGGAGACGTTTCAACACAGGTTTCTTCAGGACTTTGGTGCGCTTGTGCGACTCCGTGGTCAAAGGGATGCATCGAACCATCGCACTCGCCTGGCCGTCGAGCCTGTGGAGGATGTTGCCGAGGAGGTAAATTCTGGAGGTGGATGCCAAGGATTTTCGCAGCTAAGAATTTTAAGGGCGGTACATGGTGGTGCAAAATCTGCTTCTTGCATCATAGCTGTGCGAGTGTGCGGTGTCTTGCCGGACGGGAGCAGGTAGCCTCTGAAGAGCAGGACGCAGAGGCGGGCTCCGCACATCTGGATGTTGTAGGAGGGTACAGAGTTTCTGAACAGATGCACGAATAACTCCGGCCCTGTACAGTACCCATATAGTGCTGCCTCTCCAGCTTGAAACAATCCGGCAAGACATGTCATCTCGATTCGCAGGCCGCTCCCGAGCACGTGCAGGAGGACACAGCGGAGGACTACGGCCGTGTTGCGCATGAGATGGTCCTTGCCGCTTCGTGGCGTCGTGGCGTGGCGGGTATTTGAGATTTCGGCTTGCAGGATGCGGAGGGTGCAGAGAAGGAGATGGAAACGGAGGAGGCAGGGGAAGTGGAAGGAGGTGTTTGCAGTTAAAGGCATGCGGAAGTGCTGGCATCTGCACTGCAAGAGGCTGAAACCGAAGAGGCTGCAGATGCACCGGAGGAGGAAGTGGCAGAGGACCATCCGTCTAAGGTGAGTGTACACGAATAAGGTAACATTGACACACGCTACATTTTTCGAAACGCGCTTTAGAACACGATCTAGGATGAGCTCTTCTGACACCTGACAATCCCGCAAGACATGTCATCTCGATTCGCAGGCCGCTCCCGTGCAGGAGGACGCAGCGGAGGACGACCAACGTGTTGTACATGACTTTTCTGCTTCATGGCAGGGACGTATTTTCTGCTTGCAGGAGGTGGAGGATGCAGAGAGGGAGATGGAAGCGGAGGAGGCAGGGGATGTGGAAGGAGGTGTTTGCAGCTAATGGCGCGCGGAAGTGCTGGCATCTGCACTGTAAGAGGCTGCACCCGAAGAGGCTGAAGATGCACTGGAGGAGGAAGTGGTAGAGGACCCCTTGCACGTGTTGCTAAGCAGTGTGCACGAATATGGTAATATGAACATACATGGACATGTTTTAGGAGTGCGCCTCAGAACACGAGCTAGGATTAGCTTTGCTGGCACATCGAACAATTGAAGCTCCTGCAAGTCATGTCATCTCGATTCGCAGGCCGCTCCCGAGCACGTGCAGGAGGACACAGCCGAGGACTACCGCCGTGTTGCGCATGAGATGAACCGTGCCGCTTCATGGCGTGGCGAGTATTTCGGATTTCGGCCTGCAGGATGCGGAGGGTGCAGAGAAGGAGATGGAAACGGAGGAGGCAGGGGAAGTGGAAGGAGGTGTTTGCAGTTAAAGGCATGCGGAAGTGCTGGCATCTGCACTGCAAGAGGCTGAACCCGAAGAGGCTGAAGATGCACCGGAGGAGGAAGTGGCAGAGGACCCGGTGGACGTGATCCGTCTAAGATGAGTGTACACGAATAAGGTAACATTGACACGCGTTACATTTTTCGAAACGCGCTTTAGAACACGATATAGGATGAGCTCTTCTGACACCTGAAACTCCCGCAAGACATGTCATCTCGATTCGCAGGCCGCTCCCGTGCAGGAGGATGCAGCGGAGGACGACCAACGTGTTGTACATGACTTTTCTGCTTCATGGCAGGGACGTATTTCGGCTTGCAGGATGTGAAGGATGCAGAGAAGGAGATGGAAGCGGAGGAGGCAGGGGATGCGGAAGGAGGTGTTTCGCAGCTAATGGCGCGCGGAAGTGCTGGCATCTGCACTGTAAGAGGCTGCACCCGAAGAGGCTGAAGATGCACTGGAGGAGGAAGTGGTAGAGGACCCCTTGGACGTGATGCTAAGCAGTGTGCACGAATATGGTAATATGAACATACATGGACATGTTTTCGGAGCGCGCCTCAGAACACGAGCTAGGATTAGCTTTGCTGGCACATCGAAAATTTGAAGCTCCTGCAAGCCATGTCATCTCGATTCGCAGGCCGCTCCCGAGCACGTGCAGGAGGACGCAGCGGAGGACCACCGCCGTGTTGCGCATGAGATGAACCGCGCCGCTTCGTGGCGTCGTGGCGTGGCGGGTATTTGGGATTTCGGTCTGCAGGATGCGGAGGGTGCAGAGAAGGAGATGGAAACGGAGGAGGCAGGGGAAGTGGAAGGAGGTGTTTGCAGTTAAAGGCATGCGGAAGTGCTGGCATCTGCACTGCAAGAGGCTGAACCCGAAGAGGCTGAAGATGCACCGGAGGAGGAAGTGGCAGAGGACCCGGTGGACGTGATCCGTCTAAGATGAGTGTACACGAATAAGGCAACATTGACACGCGTTACATTTTTCGAAGCGCGCTCACGATCAAGGACGAGCTTCTGACACCTGACAATCCCGTAAGACATGTCATCGCGATTGGCAGGCCGCTCCCGTGCAGGAGGACACGGCGGAGGACTACCAATGTGTTGCACATGACTTTTCGGCTTCGTGGCCGGGAGGGTATTTCGGATTGCTGAACCCGAAGAGGCTGAAGATGCACCGGAGGAGGAAGTGGCAGAGGACCCAGTGGACGTGATCCGTCTAAGATGAGTGTACACGAATAAGGTAACATTGACACACGTTACATTTTTCGAAACGAGCTTTAGAACACGATATAGGATGAGCTCTTCTGACACCTGAAAGTCCCGCAAGACATGTCATCTCGATTCGCAGGCCGCTCCCGTGCAGGAGGACGCAGCGGAGGACGACCAACGTGTTGTACATGACTTTTCTGCTTCATGGCAGGGACGTATTTCGGCTTGCAGGATGTGAAGGATGCAGAGAAGGAGATGGAAGCGGAGGAGGCAGGGGATGCGGAAGGAGGTGTTTGCAGCTAATGGCGCGCGGAAGTGCTGGCATCTGCACTGTAAGAGGCTGCACCCGAAGAGGCTGAAGATGCACTAGTCAATTTGTCTCTGCTCACTTGTGCAGTGGTCTTACATGTCTTATGCGAGTTTCAACCGTGGATGCCTCAGCCGGCTTGAGTCGAGTGAAAAGCTGCCAATTGATTTTGGTAGCGGAGCGAGGCTCCTGCTGTAGCTACGTGCGCCATAGGCGCCTTCGCTGCTGCGACGGCGGTCTTCGGACCAGCACCCAGGACAACATCTTCTTCGACGACTTCCTCTACGAGATCCGTCTTCGGACACACGTGCACCACGAACACGTGCACCACGACTGCAGCAAGGCGGCTGCTTTCTTTCCTCCTGTGCCTTGGTGGCTTCTGGCTGTCAACAGCTTTGGCTCTTGGCGGTTCGGCGGCCATCGGTGCACGAGCCCTACAGCACGAGTTCGGTCCAGGCCCTCGCGTTGATTCTCCGCAAGGCCTATTACACGACCAAGCTCGAGCCCTACTACCCGACGACCGGGACGCGACAGAGATGACGACGCCACAAGCAGGCGGAGTGCCACTGGACGAGTGGCGGAAAGACGTGCCGCCAGGCTGGAAGCCTGGTGTGGAGAACTACCCGCTGAAGACTTACTTTGCAAAGTTGAAGTTGTGGTACCGTTGTTGTGAGGTACCGGACGAGGTGATCGGGCCGCTGATCGCGGGACGGCTCCAAGGACGTGCTCAAAGGATCGCCCTGGAGCTCAAGTTGATCCGGCCCGACGGCACCTTTGATCATGGAGATGCTGCGCTCGTGAGATTGAGCGTGGACGAAGTGCTGGACCCCAACGACGGGGTCACTGTCTTGCAGGCCCACATTCCCTCGGGGGTCCAGGCTTTGTGCAATGCCCTCCGGGACGCCTTCGGGGACACAGACGAGGCTCAGACGACAAAGGCCCTGGAGACGTTCTTCGAGCATAAGCGACCTCACGGGCAAGAGCTTCAGGAGTTTGCCGCGGAATGGGACCTGAGGTACGAAGATGCGAGAAGCAAGGCAGGCTTGGACATGAATGCGGTGGCGAAGAGTTACCTGTGGCTGAAGCAGAGTGGGTTGTCGCAGAAGCACCAGGATGACCTGAGGCTTCAAGTTCACGGAGACCTGAGCCGCTTCAACGAGATCCGCGGCTTGGCTGTGAGGCTTTCTCACAGAGTGGACAGGGCCGGGAACACCGGCGACGTGTTCTACGAGGAGACTGACTCTCAGTGGGACCCTGAGGAGATCTACTGGAACGACAGCTGGTGGAGCGACGACTCTTGGTCCTATGTCGAGGAGCCCTACGGCGATGCCACATGGTATGGCGAAGAGGAGTTCTACGAGGCCTCTGAATGGCCCGGCGACCCCACCAGTGAACCTGGATATCAAGGAGAAGATCAACCTTCGGAGGACCCCGAAGGCATCTACAGTGCTGGTGGAAGTCGCGGAAAAGGAAAAGGCAAGGGGCCCTTCGGCTCAGGCTGTTACATCTGTGGCAGCAAGTGGCATCACGCAGCCGACTGCCCTGTGAACTCCAACAAGGGCGGTTCCCCAAAAGGGAAGAGCAAAAGCAAAGGCAAGGGCTTCGGCAAGGGCAAGAGTTTCAGCAAGGGCAAAGGCAAAAGCAAAGGAAAGCAGAAGGGCTATGGCAAGGGTTCTTGGAACAGCCCTCATGGGCCGAGGTCATGGATGCAAAGATACTACGCGGACTACGACGAGGACGGTTTCTACTACAATGACACCAACCAGCTGCGTCACGCACGGCAAGGGCTTTCTCTTGGAGACTCTCCCAAGAGGCAAGCTCCGAGCGATGGCGCAAAGTACTTCAACATTGCCAAGGACACGGCCGGGAAAGGCGAGTACTTTGAGGACCTTCTCAGTTTGGAGAGAGCAGCCAGACCTTCCCCCGAGGCTGCTGCATCCTCGGAAGATCAGCCCGCGCAGATGCCGAAGAAGACTATCGACTTCTTCTTCCGCAAGACTGAGGAGCACACGGGCGAGGACACGATCGAGAAGCACCAGACCTTCCACGGCAACGACAGCGAGTTGGAGGTCTACCACACCGTCGGTGGCCAACGGCGACGAGGCCTGGTCATCGACCCAGGTGCGGCCAACGGCCTGGTTGGCTCAGAGACTCTGCGGGATCTGTTGGAACATGTGATTCCGCAGGCGCCCGTATGGACGGCCAAGAAGAGCGAGGTCACAGGCATCAGCGGCGAGGCCGACAGCACCCTCGGAGAGGTCAAGGTTTCGCTTCCCAACGTGAACGGCCTGGAGGACGCCAACTACCGAGCCGACGTCATAGGTGGCAATGCGAGCATGTGTCCAGCCCTCGTCGGAAACCCTTCATTAGTGAACATGCGGGCCATCATCATGGCAAGCTGGTTCGAGAACAAGGACGGACTGCTGGCCATGCCGAACTAGGACGGCAGTTTCCAGATGATACGGCTGCTGTTCACTGATTCGAAGCATTACCTCCTTCCGCTGGACAACGACGAAGAGAACAAGGTGAACCGTGCCGAGGAGACGAAGGTGAGAACGTTCGTCTCCACAGCCTACCAGGAGTCAACTAAGAAGTGGCCCGATGTGAGATCTTGGTTCACATGGGCGACGACAGCAAAGCCAAAGCGGAGTCAACCGGATCCCGACAGGTCTGTGAAAGCGGAGAAGAAAGTTTTCTTCGATGAGACGCCATCACCAACAGCTACCGTCGCAACACCGGCAAACACCACAGAGGACACTGGGGAGATCAGCGTGATAGGTGATGTAGATGAGACGCCATCACCGACAGCTACCGCAACACCAGCAGACACCACAGAAGACACTGGGGTCGAAAGTTTTAGTACGTCATGTACCACGTCACACCCTGGTCCTTCTGATGCTACGTCATGTACCACGTCACACCCTGAGAAGTCCCCGTGCTCTATCCATCGAGGAGTATGATGTCTTCCCTGAGGCCATGAAGTTCGACCTTCCAGCCATGTATCCAGGCGACACGGTCCTACCTGATCTACCACCAGAGCAGCAAAAGTACTTGCGTGAGCAACAGCGTGCGGTCAAGGAGGAGTCTTACACGAAATCAGGTCGCACCGTGGTCAGGCCCGAGAACTACTACCAGTGGCGAGAAACTCGCCAAGCCAGGAAACGTCCCCACTTCTGGGAGATCTGCAGCGGCTCCAGCAAACTCACTTACACTGCGCTGCTGGCAGGTCTCGTGGTGGCCTTCCCGATCGACTACCGCTACGGCTGGAATGTCACGAACTCTGATCACCAGCGTCTGCTTCTGGAGGAGCAGGAACGGTCGAGGCCGAAGATGATTTTCTTCTCTCCTCCTGACACCTTTGGCTGCTATGGCAGGAATGATTCCGAAGGACGAGAACAAGCGCTGGCCGATCAGCAACGCATCGCCAATCTGGCGAAGGCCATGGCAATGAAACAGAGCGAGCACGGGAATGGTTTCGTCCTGCAGGGGCTCTGGAACTCAGCATGGTGGAGTTCGTCGTCTCTGGCCGGGCTGGACCACCAACTACCCGGGTTCCGGCCACGACAACGAGCTGATCTCTGTATGTATGGCGCGGTGAACGACAAGAACAAGCCTGTGCAGCAGATGATCGGCTTCCAGGCTAACATGTCGATGAGAAGCTCGACGCATCTCAGGTCACGGCCACAACCATGTTCCAGGCCGTGGCGAATCGACCCGGAAGTACCCAACGGCTTTGTGCAAAGCCTTGGTGAAGGACTTTAAGAAGTTCGTTGCGAAGGATGCGGAGGCTGTCTTCATCGGGTACAAGTGCCAAAAATGCGCCCTGGGCAGGAACGCGCCGCCAGGCACAGAACACACTCTTGTACCCCGGGAATGCCGACATGCAAGCAGCCTGCCGACACCTACAACCTCTACTCCGAGCAGCTCGAGCAACCAGAGACCTGAACCACCACAAGCACCGGTCCGTACAGCAGTGACCACCCCTGTTGAGGACCAACTGGAGCAGTTCAAGCAAGCCTCAATGAAGAAGCATAACCTCGATACTGTGAAAATTCAGATGCCGGACGACATGATCATGACGGCGATTGACACCCTCAATGCTGAAGAATCTCTTGCTTCAGCTTGTGGAGGACAGCGTCAACATCATCTCAGGGAGCAAGGGCAAGCACTACCACTGGAGCCAGGACCCACTTCACCTTGCCATTCTGAGGAAGCTGTTCTCCAAGGTGATGACCGTCAAGGGCGTCTGCACCTCTCTCCAGTCAGAGACCCTTCCAGTGCCCATGCCGTTTCTGAGGACTGAGTCTGCCCCACTCAGGTTGATCATTCGTGGTGAAGTCAAAGCATGGACAATTAAACCGCTGGAAGACCTGAGGACTTACACGGATGGGCAGCTCAAGGCCAAGCACTACAGCGAGGACTGGGTCATCGCGATTTTCGGTGCGGCACCCAAGGACAAGGACTACTGGGACATCGACCGTGCGCGCGGCACGGCCACACGTCATCACCTACAACCTCGCACAGCTATGTTCACCCCTCGAGAAGATGAAGGTCCAGTCTCCATTGATGAAATGGGGTCATCGCGAGTCACTATGGCAACTCCGTTCGACAAGCCCGGGCCCAAGGTGATCATCCGAGACGAATGGACCACTCGCGACAGTTCTCGCGCAGCACTGGAACAAGGCAGGTGGACAGGGACCACCGAGTTCAAGATCAAGCTTGCTGAGGACGACGAACTGCCCTCGGCTGATCCTGTGGTCCGCGAAAGTGCTGCCCACGAGGAACAACTTGATCGCGAGGAATGTGACGATCATGGTCACCAAGCACGAGATGCACCAGAAGCAGATGATGGTCCGCCAATGGATCCTCCACGGCGAACCAACTTTGACTTCCGACGGGTGCTCGTGCGGTTGCCCAGGCTAGCACGCTCGGACCCCGAGCAGGCAAAACGCCTCATTTTGGGACTTCATGAACGTTTCTGGCACTCTGGAACAGGCGACTTGCAGTCTCTGTTGTCCAGGGCAGGAATGCCCTCCGAGGTGATCCAGATGGTCCCAGAGGTGGTGAGCGGATGTGCGATATGCCGCAGATTCGCCAGACTAAAGAGCAGACCGGCCGTCAAGGCTGGCCACCCGGCGTTCTTCAACGAGGAAGTGCAAGCTGACTACTTCCAGCTCTGGAACCAATGGTTTCTTATACTGGTCGATGCCTGCACTCGATACAAAATGGTTTCTGCAGTTTCCGGACGAGATCTTCCCACGGCTTTGAAAACCATCTTGCAGAACTGGATCAGGTTCTTTGGGCCTATGAAGCGGATGGTTTCGGATCAAGAAAGTTGTCTTATGTCCCATGAGGCCGCCGTGGAATTCGAGAGGTTCAACATTACGAGAGAACCCGCCGGCACGTCAAGGGGAAAGTCCCAAGGGCAGCACACCACCACTGGCATCGTCGAGAAGCACACCGACCTAGCCAAGATCTGCATGCTGAAGATCAAGGCCGAGGCTGAGCGCCAAGGTTTGGATGTGACAGTGGACGACATTGCTGCGGAAGCCAGTTTTGCCCAGAATGCGAGCATCAACTTGGGTGGATACACTCCACACATGATGGTGATGGGCACGCTTCCGATGCCCTACTATGACATGGATGCTCCTGGCATACAGGCTTTCACCGGCAACGACCAAACGAACCCCACGGCCTACGAGAAGGCCCTTCGACTTCGCCAGTTGTCTATCACGGCAGCTGCACAATCCATCGCTGAGAACCGTATCGCTCGTGCCGGACATACTCGCCCTCAACGACTTCCTACGGAAGACATGAAGCCCGGCACCACGGAGATCGAGTTTCATCGCGAAGATGCAGATGGTTATGGATGGCGTGGGCCAGGCTTACTGCTGAAGCTGCAGGACAATGGCTCTGCGATTGTGGAGTACCAGGGCCGACCCTATTTGGTTCCAATGCGCAATGTGCGCATCTTCAGAGGCTCCTACTACAGCAACTTCCATGAGGAGGCTAAGAACCGGAAGGAACAGGAACTGGATTCATGGTTAGCCCTGCGGCGCTTGATGGAAAGTGTCGAAGCCTGCGTTCCCTTCCGCATCGACACCTACGGCCACGTGAAGGACCCTCATGGAAAATGGAAGATCCTCCCAAGGACCATGAACGAGCCTCAGCTCAAGGGGATCCTCGATGATGTGATCTCAGCTTCAGGTTTCCTTACCAACAAGGAGTGCCACGGCATCAAAGTTGGCATTGGACTGAAGAAGATGCTGACTCCGGCAGGAACCACTGGGACTCTGATCGCATGGAGAAAGAATACCATACGCATGACCATCATAGACAACCCGACGGGCCAGAACATGTCGACTGTGTCAGTGAGGATGGCCGGCAAGGAGGAGATGTGTTACATCTACTTCTACAGCTACGCTCCGGACTACGCCGAGGCACCTTCGTCTACTTGGCGACCACGCGGCATCCCCAACGAGGAATCACCGATAGTTCCACAAGCACCACCACCTGGACACAACAACGACGAGATGCCGATGGATGTCGACGACAGTGACAACAAGCGCGATGGTCCGGACTCTCGTACGGTCACATTGGCACCCGAACCGAAGAAGCAGAGGTTAGGCTATGTGACACCATCGTCGGAACACATGTTTGAAACGTTCCTCACCATGCACCAGAGGCAACATGTGTGGACGTGAGCAAGCTTCCACCGGAAGAACCACATGAACTACCTCCAAATGACCTCTTCAGCAACAAGGAGCCAATGGAGCCGACCTCGAGCGCCAACTTCCACATGCGCTCTCCTGGATGGCACGCGGACCTCTACAACGGCAACATCTTCCGAGTCGACTCCACCACCGACAACATTGAGGAGCACGACGTGTATGACATCTGGCCACAAGTGGACGAGGCCGACGGCAAGGAGGTTGGACAGTTTGTGACTGAAGGTGCTTTCAAGGCAGTGTCTAGAGATTCCCTTGGCAAGGACTGCGCTATCATCGATGCCATATGGGTCAGGAAATGGAAGAAGACCTCCTCGGGACGCATCGTCAAGAGTCGGCTATGTGTCAGAGGATGTCATGACCCTTGGAAGCATGAGCTGAGCAGCCGATCCTCGACGGCCACTCGGCTGTCACAAAGGATGATCCTGGCGTCAGCGTCCAACAACGCCAAGAAGTCCTTGGAATCCTGGGACATCGCCGGCGCTTTCCTGAAGGGACTGACCTACCAAGAGTTGTGGAAGGCGCTGAAGGAGTTGGGCATGCAATGTGTTGAACGCATGATCGCGGTCGTGCCACCGCGTAACGTCTGGCGCCACTTGAGGCGCTTGAGCAAGAAGTTCAACATCCCCGACGAGGAGATCGGGGCCTACGTGCTGTTGTGCCTCAAACCTGTCTACGGACTTTCAGAAGCACCTTTGGCATGGCAACTCTACCTCCACAAGTACTTGAAGCAGCTTGGGGCCCACCAAAGTCACTTTGATGAATGCTACTGGTGGTGGCCCAGCTCAGCGCATGGTCAGTGGCCGAGCTCATCTTTGTCCACTCATGTGGATGACCTTGCTGTTGAGGGATTTCAGAAATGGCTCGACGAGACCTTCGACAAGATGATCGTCAAGTTTGGGAAATTATCCAGGCAGCGGCTTCCCTTTATGCACTGCGGATGCCGCTACTCCAAAATCCCTGACGGATACAAGGTGGACCAGCAAGAGTACGTTGAGATGCTCAAACCAGTGAAGCTGAAGGACAGCGACAATGATGATCGGATGCTGGACGCCTCCGAAACGACGCTACTCCGGAGCGCCATCGGGGCTTTGATGTGGACATCCCTCACGCGTCCAGACCTTCTCGCTGAATTGTCAGCGCTCCAAGGCATCATGAACAAGGCGAAGGTTTGTCACCTTAAGGATGCCAATGGTCTAGTCGCAAAGGCCAAACGAGACAAGGAGGCAGCGATCTACTACCGGAACTTGGAGACCACCTCCTACAGGATCGTATGCATCCATGATGCATCAGCGGCCTCCTCAACGAAGAACTACGCTCAAGAAGGTGTGATTGTCGTCCTCATGAGTGACCACTTCCGCACCACCGACAACCACGTGATTGCTAGCGACTATGTGGCAAAATACTGTCTGTCTGGTCAAGCACAGCTACTACATTGCCAGTCGAACAAGGCTAAAAGAGTGTCATACTCTACCTCCCATGGGGAGACACTGGCAGCCATAAACGGCTTGGAATGCTCCACGCTTGTGAGCACGAGGCTGGCTGAGGCGACACATGGAACCACACGTCCGACGCTACAGCAGCTGTTGGCTACCCAGGAACGTGGATGCCAACACTTCCCCGTCGACATGCACACCGACGCGCGCGACTTTTGGGAGCTCAGCACGGGATCCAAGAATCTTCCTCAAGACAAGTCCCAACGGCTCTACATCCTGGCGCACCGCGAAGCCCGAGCTGCGGGCAGGATACGTTGGGTCATTTTGACCCCAACAGAGTGCATGACTGCGGATGCTCTCACCAAGGTCATGACATCGCCAGTGCTGATGGAGTGGCTGACAACCGGCCATGTAAAGTTCTGGAACACGGGTCATGCTCTGGAACTTAAACGGCTTCCCCCTACGAACGACATCAACGAGCACGACCTCATCGAAGGCGACGAAGCGCTCATGAAGAAGCCTACATGGTTTTCTCAAGTGCCAATGTTCATGTTTTCCAAAAAGCTGTTTGGAGCCGCAGTTATGGCCTCTCTACTACAGTGTGCAGCCGGTCAACCAGAAAACGGACTCCCGAACTACTCCCTCGAGCTCCATGATATCCTCCTCATCGTCCTCATGATGATGATTGCTATCTCATCTGCAGCTATCGCGATCTGCTGCGACCGAACTATGTCAAGGAACTCAACTACGACGACTACAACTTCGACAACGTCTTCGAGCTCTACTACACCGCCTTCGTCTTCTCCGCCCTCAGGCTACGACGCCGAACCGCTGGCAACGTCTTCTACGACAAATCTGGATGAACCACCTCCGAGCGTTCCACTGAGCAGCAACGGTCAGCCAGTTTGGGTTCGACAGAAGGGGCACTCGTACCATACACGAGAGTGCATATACGCACAGGGCGGCAGAAAGCTGACGCCATGCGGGTTTTGTAACCCTCATAGGCGAGGGCTCTGACGTGCAAAGACCAAAGCGGAGTCAATTTGTCTCTGCTCACTTGTGCAGTGGTCTTACATGTCTTATGCGAGTTTCAACCGTGGATGCCTCAGCCGGCTTGAGTCGAGTGAAAAGCTGCCAATTGATTCACTGGAGGAGGAAGTGGTAGAGGACCCCTTGGACGTGATGCTAAGCAGTGTGCACGAATATGGTAATATGAACATACATGGACATGTTTTCGGAGCACGCCTCAGAACACGAGCTAGGATTAGCTTTGCTGGCACATCGAAAATTTGAAGCTCCTGCAAGCCATGTCATCTCGATTCGCAGGCCGCTCCCGAGCACGTGCAGGAGGACGCAGCGGAGGACCACCGCCGTGTTGCGCATGAGATGAACCGCGCCGCTTCGTGGCGTCGTGGCGTGGCGGGGATTTGGGATTTCGGTCTGCAGGATGCGGAGGGTGCAGAGAAGGAGATGGAAACGGAGGAGGCAGGGGAAGTGGAAGGAGGTGTTTGCAGTTAAAGGCATGCGGAAGTGCTGGCATCTGCACTGCAAGAGGCTGAACCCGAAGAGGCTGAAGATGCACCGGAGGAGGCAGTGGCAAAGGACCCGTTGGACGTGATCCGTCTAAGATGACTGTACACGAATACTTGGAAGGGCAGGGGACTTAGTAAGTAGGTTATAAGTAGAGTTATAAGTACCCTAAATGGAGTTACCCCAGTTATAACCCTACCTATGAACGACTTACGAAGTCCCCTGCCCCTCCAAGTAAGGTACTGGTACTGGTAACATTGACACACGTTACATGTTTCGAAGCGCGCTTTAGAACACGATCTAGGATGAGCTTCTGACACCTGACAATCCCGCAAGACATGTCATCTCGATTCGCAGGCCGCCCTCGTGCAGGAGGACGCAGCGGAGGACGACCAACGTGTTGTACATGACTTTTCTGCTTCATGGCAGGGACGGTATTTCGGCTTGCAGGATGTGGAGGGTGCAGAGAAGGAGATGGAAGCGGAGGAGGCAGGGGATGTGGAAGGAGGTGTTTGCTGTTAAAGGCATGTGGAAGTGCTGGCATCTGCACTGCAAGAGGCAGAACCCGAACAGGCTGAAGATGCACCGGAGGAGGCAGCGGTAGAGGCCCCGTTGCATGGGACGCTGAATGTCGCTCGATGCCGCAAAAGATGAGCCATAGGAGACTGAAGACAAGGCCATGGAAGCCCAGGAGGCAGGGGCGACTTACGGCGCGTAAAGGGGCAGAATGTTCGGAATACTAAGCAGGTGAGCGGGTGGAAGTGATGATGGCAGCTGCGTCGCCAGGCTACTACCGCAGACTCCCCAAAGGAAGACGTGGTGGAGGACACGCGGAACAGATTCCGTGTTCTCATGATGGATTTGCCAATGTGGGGATTTTGGCAATGGCGAGGAAAAGAAGGCTACACGGCTTAGAGTTTAGAGTGCAGGTTACTTTGGCGAGGGAGGGTGCAAGCCAACACCATATCTGTTTGCGAGCAGGATCCGTCACCTGCAGGGGAGGACGTCGAGGTCAAGGAGGCACGAGCGTTCTTCTAGTCTCGCATTCCTCGTCGAGCTTCGTTCTCAAGATTGCAGTGGTGCGCTGCACAATGCAGGCAATGGCAGCAGAGCCTGAGGCAGTTCCTGCAGAGGAAGTGGCACAGGACATGCTGGACAGGTTGTTCAACTAAGTAGGTCTTCCGTGGTATGGCTTGCTGAATTCTTGCATGACTGGCAGCAGGTGAGCTGTGAGCTGATTGTTGGCAGGATGCGACATGTGCAGACAAGGAAATGGTTGCGGAGGAGGCAGGTGAATCATGGCCGCAAGACTTCCAACCCTTCGGATGGAAAGTGCTAGCAGCTGCTAGCATGGCATGGCAGGCAGCCGTAGAGCCGCTTGAAAAAGTTGCAGATGTTGCAGAGGAGGTTCCCTGCCATTTTCAAGATGTCACGACTTCGCGTGCCATGTCACTGTCCGTGCTTTGGCGAGGAAGAAGCCGTCGCAGAGCAGGAAACCGAGGCAGACTGATGGAGCACAAGTGGCCTCTCCGTAGTGGTGGGATGACATGTGTGCCCTGTGCGTGCCAGCTGAACGTGCAGGCCGTGCAGCCAACTCAGGCAGATGCGGAGGAGTGCCGCTCTGCTTCTGAGAATGCCACAGAAGATTGGGTAGAAGACGTCTATTTCTGATGGTGTGGATACCCGTCGCAGCCGAGTCGCAGGACGCCGCGGACAAGGCCATGGAAGCAGAGGAGGCAAGCGCGGCTACTTAAGGATTATGCAAGTGGCCGCATGTCGGAATTAGGAAGCAGGTGAGCTGGAGGGTGGGCCGCAGTGGCAGCTGCGTCGCCAGGCTGCTACCGAAGACTCCTCAGAGGACGTGGCGGAGGACATGCGGAACAGATTGCGCGTTCTCATGATGGATTTGCCAATTGTGGGGATGTTGGCAATGGCGAGGAGAAGGAAGCCGAAGAAGCGCAGGACACTGTGACATGGCAAAGGCTATTGAAGGCTACAAGGCCTAGAGTACGGGGTACTTTGGCGAGGGAGGGTGCAAGCCAACACCATATCTGTTTGCGTGCAGGATCCAGCACCGGCAGGGGAGGACGCCGAGGTCAAGGAGGCACGAGCGTTCTTCTAGTCTCGCATTCCTCGTCGAGCTTCGTTCTCAAGATTGCAGTGGTGCGCTGCACAATGCAGGCAATGGCAGCAGAGCCTGAGGCAGTTCCTGCAGAGGAAGTGGCACAGGACATGCTGGACAGGTTGTTCAACTAAGTAGGTCTTCCGTGGTATGGCTTGCTGAATTCTTGCATGACTGGCAGCAGGTGAGCTGTGAGCTGATTGTTGGCAGGATGCGACATGTGCAGACAAGGAAATGGTTGCGGAGGAGGCAGGTGAATCATGGCCGCAAGACTTCCAACCCTTCGGATGGAAAGTGCTAGCAGCTGCTAGCATGGCATGGCAGGCAGCCGTAGAGCCGCTTGAAAAAGTTGCAGATGTTGCAGAGGAGGTTCCCTGCCATTTTCAAGATGTCACGACTTCGCGTGCCATGTCACTGTCCGTGCTTTGGCGAGGAAGAAGCCGTCGCAGAGCAGGAAACCGAGGCAGACTGATGGAGCACAAGTGGCCTCTCCGTAGTGGTGGGATGACATGTGTGCCCTGTGCGTGCCAGCTGAACGTGCAGGCCGTGCAGCCAACTCAGGCAGATGCGGAGGAGTGCCGCTCTGCTTCTGAGAATGCCACAGAAGATTGGGTAGAAGACGTCTATTTCTGATGGTGTGGATACCCGTCGCAGCCGAGTCGCAGGACGCCGCGGACAAGGCCATGGAAGCAGAGGAGGCAAGCGCGGCTACTTAAGGATTATGCAAGTGGCCGCATGTCGGAATTAGGAAGCAGGTGAGCTGGAGGGTGGGCCGCAGTGGTGGCAGCTGCGTCGCCAGGCTGCTACCGAAGACTCCGCAGAGGACGTGGCGGAGGACATGCGGAACAGATTGCGCGTTCTCATGATGGATTTGCCAATTGTGGGGATGTTGGCAATGGCGAGGAGAAGGAAGCCGAAGAAGCGCAGGACACTGTGACATGGCAAAGGCTATTGAAGGCTAGTACTGGAGGGTGCAAGCCAACACCATATCTGTTTGCGTGCAGGATCCAGCACCGGCAGGGGAGGACGCCGAGGTCAAGGAGGCACGAGTGTTCTTCTAGTCTCGCATTCCTCGTCGAGCTTCGTTCTCAAGATTGCAGTGGTGCGCTGCACAATGCAGGCAATGGCAGCAGAGCCTGAGGCAGTTCCTGCAGAGGAAGTGGCACAGGACATGCTGGACAGGTTGTTCAACTAAGTAGGTCTTCCGTGGTATGGCTTGCTGAATTCTTGCATGACTGGCAGCAGGTGAGCTGTGAGCTGATTGTTGGCAGGATGCGACATGTGCAGACAAGGAAATGGTTGCGGAGGAGGCAGGTGAATCATGGCCGCAAGACTTCCAACCCTTCGGATGGAAAGTGCTAGCAGCTGCTAGCATGGCATGGCAGGCAGCCGTAGAGCCGCTTGAAAAAGTTGCAGATGTTGCAGAGGAGGTTCCCTGCCATTTTCAAGATGTCACGACTTCGCGTGCCATGTCACTGTCCGTGCTTTGGCGAGGAAGAAGCCGTCGCAGAGCAGGAAACCGAGGCAGACTGATGGAGCACAAGTGGCCTCTCCGTAGTGGTGGGATGACATGTGTGCCCTGTGCGTGCCAGCTGAACGTGCAGGCCGTGCAGCCAACTCAGGCAGATGCGGAGGAGTGCCGCTCTGCTTCTGAGAATGCCACAGAAGATTGGGTAGAAGACGTCTATTTCTGATGGTGTGGATACCCGTCGCAGCCGAGTCGCAGGACGCCGCAGACAAGGCCATGGAAGCAGAGGAGGCAAGCGCGGCTACTTAAGGATTGTGCAAGTGGCGCATGTCGGAATTAGGAAGCAGGTGAGCGGGAGGGTGGGCCGCAGTGGTGGCAGCTGCGTCGCCAGGCTGCTACCGAAGACTCCCCAGAGGACGCGGCGGAGGACATGCGGAACAGATTCTGTTCTAGAAGGTTCGTGTCTCTAGAAAATGATCATATGTGCGTCCAGTGGGGGAATGTTTGCACTCGCGAGGAGAAAGGAGCTGCAGAAGCGCAGGACAAAGAGGCGAGATCAGTTTTGCAATGATGGCTTGGAAGCAAGCTTTGCATGTATTGGCATAGTGTCACATGTCCTTTTGGACATGGGTGGGCTGGATGTGAACTAGCCTCGTGTGCACATTATTACCAAGCCGTTGCAAGGGGGAGTTGCGCAGGAAGCGTCGTGGGATTGAAGTTGTTGCTTCTATGGGATCGATGTGGAAGCAAGCCGTGGCACCTACTTGTACTCATAATGCGCCGGGATACGACAGATGCGCAGTGCTTGCAGTGGAGTTGTGGGCTTCATGGAGCTGTCGCAGACCGAATAGGGAATGTCGTTTGAGGTGTTGGAACCTGCTGATGGACGTGCTACCAAGGCCACTCTGACAATGCGCTGCCTCTTTCATACTCTGGATGGCCTTTCGCAGGATGGTACGGAGACAGTGGAAGCCACGGAGGCGTTGCAAGGTTTTCAGCGGGGTAGGTGGCAGTCATATGTGCACGATGCATGGACTGGCTGTTTGCACCTTGCTCAATCCCATGTCAAATCTCAAAGGCCTTGGATTTGTGTGGGCCTTGTCCAGGCATCAGAGACTCTCGAGTCTGCGGCGGAAGCCGCGGAGCCAGCTGAAGCCAGTGCACCGGCATCCAAAGCCGCCGAAGCAGAGCTGGCTGCCCCGAAGACGGCGACAGATGCGGTACCCGCCGACGAGGCCTTGGCACGGGTACGCACGCGCGTGCATGGCATGTTTTCGTTTCGCTTGATGTCCAGTGGCGAAAAGAAGGCCCCCGCACGCCAGACAGGGCTGGGATGGCTCTATGTGCCTTGAAAGCAACTGGCGAACCTGAGCCGGAGAATTGATTTCTGAACCCAGGCCTCGACAGTGGCTGCGGCTGCGGCCCTACGCAGCTCCCCAATGCGTGGTGCCCGCAGTCTGGCCGAGCGTCTGCGGAGTCGCGGAGGTGGGTCAGGCAGGTAGCAGACCTTCAAGCTAGGCTAAGGCTAAGGCTGTGGCACATGCCTCGAAGAGCTTTGGCAGGAGAACCAGCCGAGAGCGGAGAGACGCTGGCCGCCCCTGTCTCCGCATCGCAAGGTCCTTCTGATGAGCTTGTCAATGTGAGAAAGCCGCAGAAACAACCCCTTTTCAGGATTACTGCATTTTCGGAGCTCTGCCAGCCATGGTGCATGCATCAGGGTTTCGTCCCGAGCTGCTAGAGGCCAGAGCGGCCTTGGTGATTTTGGTGATGAGGAAAAAGGCTAGAGATGATTTAGCAGGCATGGTGATTGCGAAAATCATTCCAGTGACAAGGCGAAGCTGAAGATCGTAGTACGGCTCATGTCGGAAAAGAGATCATGTGCATGATCACAACGACCTCCTAAATCAGAAGTAACCGTGAGGATGTTGCTCGTGACATGACAAGACTTCCGACGGTGCAAGCGCACCAGAAGCGCACTTGATGCGCATGTAAGTTGGGTGTATTCTCGCACGTGCAACGTTTATGCGTGCAAGAGAAGGTGTTGATGCCCCATCATCTTAACCATGTCCGTCCTTCTGCTCCCCTTACGCCGGACTTGACAGCAAAAGTGTTTCAACCTGTTTCGGAGGTGCTGAGGCGCCAGAGCTCTTGCGCGCACGGCAGCGCGCCGAACGCGCAGCGCAGCGCCCACCTCCGGCGGGTCTCGAACAGCCGGGGCCCCATGCAGCTGTGTTCTGTGATGCCATGCCTGGAGTGGGCGGCGGGATTATGAATTGTACGGCGCTGGAGGGTGCCCGAGCAGGCTTAGACTATACGTGCAGCAAAGGGTCGCGTAGTCATGACGGTCGTAGCGGAGAAGGCTTCTGCGACACCTGTGCAGCCTGATGATGATTAGCTCAGGTATCCAGCAGCCGATGGCGACGAGGAGGTGACTATAGCATCCTTCCGCTGTAGTGCATACAGGTTGTTGTTCTCGATAAGCTGCATAAGCACGGCCGGTTTAGCACAAGGCAAAGAGATGCAACGAAGAAGAGAAATATTCATGATGGGCAGAAATTCTGGGCCAGAACTGTTCAGCAGTAGCGACATCAGAAGCAAAAGCCACCATAACAGCAACTTGCAAAAGCAAAACCCTACTTCATCTTACTTCATATCAAGAGGACAAGCAGTAAGTAGTCGTTAGTGTCTGACTTGTCGAGCACGAGTGACAAAAAAGTAGTCGTTAGTGCAACAGGAGGACTGAAGATTAGTAGCGGCAAACATAGCATGCCAAACCACAGAAACAGTTACCATTACCGTCGCAGACACCGCCACCATTGCCACTACTGCTACCATGTCGAATGGATTGGATGCTCTGGTTGTCAGAGGGAGCATACGTAAGACTGGCGATGGACCGCAGCAACTTCATGACTGCGAAAGGATCAGTGAGTGAAGCCACGATCTTCTCGATTTGTGAGGCCGAAGAAGAGGAGGCTGAAGAAGACGCCAGCGCAGCATCTCCAGGAAAGACTGAGCGGCTTGGCTTCAAAGGTTCAGGGGCCTCGCCTGGGGCCTTACATGTCGTACCGTAGCATGACGTAGCGGTTCACCCGAGGACTGCAGCCGGTGAGGCGAAGGCCGACCACAACATGGCCAAGACTTGCAGAAGCTGCATGCAAAACTGCGGGGGCAAAATTCTTTTCTGTGCCAAAGGCGACGTCCCCGTTGCAGCAAAAGACGGCTTCGGCAGGACAGTTTTTCCATGCACGTGGATCTTCACTCTCTCTCTGTCAATGTTGCTCAAGTTGCTTTGGGTTGGCGGTTGGCAGCTGACAGGCTCAGGCGAGAAGGATAACGCCTCGCCGAAGACCTCGGCCACTTTGCCGGTGCAGGAGGCGGAGGCACCACATGTGCAGCTTCTGACGGTCACGAGCAAGTGAGAGCCTGGGGATGCTGGGCAGGCACTGAAGTCCAAAGGTAAATCCCAGAAGGCCGCGGAGCCCGAGATTTCTGAGCCGGCTCCCAAGAAGAAGCCGGGAAGGAAGCCCAAACAGGAGGCCCCCACGGTGGCCCAGGCCGCCCAAGCGGAGGCGGAAGCCCAGACCCAGGCCGAGCCTTCGAAGCGTGCGGCCCCGGAGGCGGCCCAAGCGGAGGAGAGAGGCAAAAAGAAGACGAAGACGACGGCTGCCGTCGATATGCACTTGGAGGCACTGCGCAGCTTGAAGACGGAAGCAGAGAGAGAAGAGTATCTGGGCAACATCACGCTGACCATGCGGATGAAGGTTGCCGAAGCGCAGTCGATGTGTGCCGATGCCTTGCCGGCGGCAGAGGTGCAAGAAGAGGAAGCCCCAGCCCCGAGCGAATCAAAGGCCAAGGAGAAGAAGCGCGGAGGCAAAGCGACAAACAAACCCGAAGCCGAGCAGAGGCAAAGCGAAGAGCCGGCCTCCGAGGCGCCGGCACCTTCGGCGGGACGCCCCCAGAAGCGCGCTGCAGCACAGCAGGCAGAGCCTGATGAGGTCAAGAAGCCAAAGAAGCTCACTGCGGCCGTCGAGAAGCACATGGATGAGCTGGCGAAGTTGAAGACCCAGAAGCAGAAGGAGAAATACATCGCCAAGCTGACCATCGCCATGCAGACCAAAGTGGCTGCAGCCCTCTCTGAAGCCGAGGTCCAGAACGAGGAGACCGAGGAGCCCGAAAGCAAAAAGCGCACAGCGCCTCCGAAGGAACCGAAGGACTCGGCCAAGGACCGCCGGGGTTGTTTTTCATGGTGGAATGGGTTTTGCTTGCATGATTGTCCAGGCGCGGAAGGTCGACGATTCCGAGAAGCACCTGGAGGAGCTAAGCAAACTCAAGTCCGAGAAAGCCAAGACTGCCTACCTGAAACAGCTGCCTAGTGCTCAGCTGTGCAATGCTTTGCATGTGCCGCCGCATGTCTGCTTCCGGTTGCTCAAACTTGAACCTGGAACGGTGTTTCGTCCCTTGTCGATGTCTTGAATTTGCATGACGAAGACTACGTCTACGTGTACTGCTCACACAGATGTAGTCGCTTGGTATACACGGGGCCATGAAGGAAGTGGACATTGGGCACTCCGATTCCCTACTGGCGGTTGGGCGGTTGCGGTCCTTCAAAAAATCCAGATTTCGACGGTTGCCCTCTATTGCTTGTGCTTTTCAGTTTCTCCCACGCATGCCTGCTACGAGTGTCAATCTCATGACCTTTCTGCGATTTCAAGCTTCCATAACTTCAACCTGGTTTGGGGTCCTGCCGATGCTGCCGTTTCCATGGGGGCTGTACCCAACCCATGCCCCAAGCCCGACCGTGCATGCCGAGGCCTGCAGCCACGCGGCAGCGCGTGGAGGCGCTCCGGGCTGCCTCTGCTCCATCGGCTGCGCCTGCCGTGTCCGCCTCTCCGTCGCCACGGAGGCCACAGAGTAGACAGAGAGATCGCTAGTTCCCAAAGCGAACTCCGAGTCTTTGCCTGGGAACAGTGCGGCGTGCGGGCGCACCCAATCCGCTTATGATTGCAAGAAACCCCTTGGCCTCTCAGACGTGGAGAAACACGCAGTCCATCGTTAAACCGCTTGTCTTCATGCCTTCTTCACTGGAAGGAAAGGTTTTCTGAGAAAGGCTGCACACCCAATCCGAGGGTGAGATTTGGTTCCTCTCAAGCATCAGCTTGTCAGGCTGGGGCCGCCCACGCTGCTTGAAGTCGCTGAGAAGGAGCGCGGTCGATCTAATAATAGTAATGATAGTAATCATAGTAATAATAGTAATAATAGCAATAATAGTAATAATAGTAAGAATAGTAATAATAGCAATAATAGTAATAATTGTCAAGCTGCATTGAGGGAGGTCGGGACGATTGGATTCACAATGATTCACATGTTGTCTGACAGGTTGTGGAGGCACGCCAGGCTGAAAGCACAGGCCGGGTCATTGTGACGGCTGCCAGCTGACCTTTATTTCCTTTTGAAGGCATGTTTGCCGTTGTTTGTGAAGAGCGATTGTCGCCGTGATTACTAGCTGCTGTAGCTGGTTCAGCTCTCTTGTCGAAACAGGCGCTGCAGCTCAGCCAGAGCTCTCCCAGAAAAAGCCAGCTGCCAAAAAGTCGCGGCCCCGATTGGCGCAGATTTCCATCGCTCGTCAATACTGAAGAGCAAGAACCCTCGTTTGCCTCATGGCCGATGTAGGTCCCGTGCCTGTCATGTCACACTGGTCTGAGGAAGCCCACCGCAGTGGAAAAGCATTTGCAGGACAGGGGTCGAGGTGGTGACTACCAGCATAGTGACGGCATCGCGTTGGTGATGACAAGCAGTTGTAGGCCTGCTTCCCCAGAAGTTCCAGGCCAAACTAGCACCTACCTACGCTGCCGGAGCTGCACATATGTGCGCAGAGATATCTTCCGAACACTGAAGAAGGTTGAAGGCAAGACTGAACTGGGTTCTTTCTCTGTCTTTCTTCCGCTAGCATGCTCGAGGTTGGGGTCTAGAGCCATTCTACTGTCAGGGGAGAAGCAGCCGACTCCCTGCAACAAAGCATCGAAGCCACTCTGCCACCCAACAAGAGCCCATAAGAGCCCCAAACCCCTTGTCCCCGCTCGAGTTCAGCTCTACGGTGGGGCCATGCTGACGTCAGAAATGCATGCCAGTGGAACTACTGCCGGAGTTTCAGTCAGAGCCAGGTCCACAGACAGAGGCACGAAAAAACCCACGGCAGACAAGTGCCGTGGCACAACACAGAAAACGACAAGCTTATAAGACGGAATGCAGCGTTGCAGGGGGACAAGCGAAAGGTGTAAACTTCAAGTATTGCTTCTCAGCAATGAGGCATGGACGCCGTAGTACCGGAATACATTCTTGAAGCTTCACGGAGTCTAGCTATCAATCTTCAGGGCTGCGCCGGAAGGCCAAGGACGAGGAAATCCAGGAACAAAACAAGATGTGGGGTTGGGATGCCTGCAGTGAGCACTCGGCTCCCAGAAGCTGCAGGAGCTGAGTAAGCTGAAGAATCCTCAGCAGCTTGGTAGCCGTTGGAGTTCGCCACTCAGTTGCTTTTGGAAGATCGGATGCATTGCTCAGGAAGAAGGAGACCTACCTGAGCAAACTCCCTCCTGCAGCTCGGATTAGCGCATACGTTTGGAGGGCAGGGCCCTGCTAGCACCGTGTAGACTGCCAAGTTCATGAACTCAGTGCATCAGCACTTAATGTAACCTGCGAGCGAAGTTGCAATGTTTGCATGGCCCCCTTATGCAAAGCATCCGAGCCCCGCATTTAATTGGCCAGAGGCAATGCAGGTGAAGATGGCCGAGGTTCGGCACATGCTGCGCTGACAATGTTTTCTTGCCACCCGCCCACCCTTTGCCTTTGCGCAGGCCATGTCTCTTGCGGAAGGCGGCTGCTGATGCATCGTGCACGATCGCCCTTGGCCTAGGCAGAAGTGTTCCGTGAAAGAAGTCATCACAGTTCCCTGCCACGGTTTTGCCCCGTAGCTTAAGCTGCAAGCTTGAGCACGGGCTTGAGCTTTGGCGGTCTGGTCTCCTCGCATGGGCAAGCCATGATGAGACCAGAAAGTGTATGTAAGCCTTCAAAGTCGCTTGGATTTGGTGTCACATCCAAGAGAGCAGCTAACGACTGTTTGGCACTGCACCTCGCACGGACGAGCAGCAGCGAATGTCGGTGACACATCCAGGTGACAGATGTGAGTTTCACACATTAATTTTATGCCCGATCATGTCCTGTGTCCACGCCTGTCCATGTGAGAAGAAGCCTCAGGAGGTTGTTGTCAGACTACTTGCAACAACAGAAATTCGGATGCAGGGACCTGGGACGTGACAACTATTGGTAGCAATCTTGGGGTTTGATTGTTGTGCCGTTTGAGGCGGCACCTTTACATGTCGATATGTGTACAGCCAGGCGCGCGTTGACGCAGACCTGTGCTCTCTGTTGGCCGCTGGGCTGTGGTTCGTTTCTGGCCAACCGTCGCCACCGCCTCTCGTGCAGTCAGCCGCCCGACAGCGCAATTCGTTGAGGCGCTGCTCCCTGCAGCTGCCCTGGTAATTCAGTGAAGCGTTAACATGCCGAGTTTAATCGCGAGGCGCCAAATAAGCAACGGCTTCGTCGTTTATTGTTTACTTCGGTGGGTTAGGATTCGATGTATAGGTCCGGAGACGAGTTGGGCATTTTCGCTACCTGATTCGGAGTCAGCTTCTTGCAGGGCCCAGGTGCAGTATAATTCCTGACGTACCTGCCTCGCATGAGGAGCCCAAGTGTGAGTGCTAAAGCTCCAAGTCAGTACCCTCTTCCACGTCGCGTCACTGTCGAGTTGGGTTTCGCAGGTCACGTCGAGGTAACTTGGCTGACAGCAAAGGCAGGCAAACAACCTCCCGTGCTTAGTCAATCCGGGTACTGTGCGGACAGGGCGGATTTGAGGGGACTAGTTGGGCATCTATTCGTGGTGAGGCTACTGCAGGGGCCTCTCTTGTTTCTCTGCTGTGCTCCAGCTGTGCTTTTTGGTTTTGGGAAAAGCCTTACGGGCCTTGCTCTCCTATGCACAGCACAACGCATGTCTGATATCACGTCCTTTCTCGCAGAAGATGATAATGATGATGATGATGAAGATGCTCTGATGATCATGGCGAGGTGATGGGGCACTCATTCTTCCTGCTGTGTCTGAGTGTCCAAGGATCCTTGGCTCTTTGCAAGTGGCACTCGACACTGAGACCGAGAAAGTGGCAGGCGCTTTTGGAGATGTTGGGGGGTTGGTGTGGCTTGAGCCTTTAAAAACGAGGCTTGCCACCTATAGCAGCACTTTGCACCAACCCGCTCAGGTGCTGAAGCCAAGAAGGCGGAACTTGACCAGACGGTGAAGGCACAGATTACACTGCAGTTTACGGAAACGGTATGCTGGGCCGTAGCATTGGGTATTGTCTTCCTGCCTGGCTTGGGGGCGAAGGGATGGAGGGGAGGTTCAAGAACGACCCCGACTCTTGGTATTTACAGCATGTTCGGCACCTTCATATGCATTCGGCTCCTCTGCATGGTCCTGTCGTCTCTGAGGGCCAAGACTCCAGTAAACGAAAATACTCGGGATTTACGATGCTTTCCGCAAGTGTTTCCGGTCTGCGCTTGTAAGCACCGCTTCACAGTAAGACAAGAAACATGCTCGTATTCATAGCGCTTTCTCATTGGCGCTTTCTGCCCCCTCTTGTGCAAACGGGCTTGTGCCTCAGGATGCGGAGGTGTCCCTCCAAGCTGCGAAGGTGCTTTGAGAGTCGCCTTGAACTGTTCAGCCTGGTGGGGAAGTGTTCAACCGCAGGCCTACACGTCCGAGTGCGAGGCTAAACTCAAGACGGCCTCAGAGGCCTTGGCCTTGGGTGCTCCAGCCGCCCCCAAGGGTCCTTGGTCTCGCGGCACAGGCGGTGTGCACAAGCAAAGCTGCTCTGACTCAGCGGCTCAAGGAGCAGAAACAAGGCCTTGGACTGGGCGGCGCCTCGATTTTGAGCTTCTGTGTCGGCTCGGCTCAGGCGACGAAGGCATCGTGAAAGCACGCGCAGACAAGGCAGATGCTGTACCTTTTCCTCCGGTCCGGGTTCCGAGCTTGTGTCGCTGGCCAAGGAGCTTCTGGAAAGCACCAAGTCTGAGTGCTTCGAGAAGCTGAAGTCCGGCGGGGCAGTGGCCAAGGTGACTGTCTTAGACTATCACGCGCGCAGAAACCGGGTGAAGGGGAGGAATCTTTCTGAATTAGGTGCCGTTTCAGAGCCCCTCTGTTTCCAGGGGCAATAGAACATTGCAGGAGGCGAAGCAGCTGCTCAAGAAGATTGAGTGCCGCCCTCGGCAACGTGTAGACGTAGATGCAGAGGCAGCCAGCGCCCATGCAACACTAACGAGCAAGCCTTGCAGCCCGAGCTTTGTGCACTGTTATCGTCAAGACTGCAACGCGATGGCCATTGACAGCACCTTTTATTCCAAGCAGATACCTTGCACTGCCAGCCCACGGAGTTGTGCAGCAGCACATCCTGTACCTACTGAATATCACAGCAGCCGTGAATGCAGACCCGTCCCGGACACCGTATCAGCCAGTGCTGCTCTGGGAATGCCTGTAAGTTCCGTTCGGAACATTTTCCTGCTTGGCTGAAAGCTGCATCTCCGAAGGCCTTTCATCAAGCAGACCGGGTCGGACGCATCGCTCATCACAGCCGCGCCTGCGACGCTACTGAAGCCGCCCGAGGACCTTGATACTGGAATTCATGGGAGGGTCATCGAAGCAACTAAATCACAGAAGCTCCCTGCGGCCTGCAGGAACGTGGGAGCTTCGACCAGATCGCCACCTGCATCAGAGATACTGGACTTGCACTGACTTTGGCTTCAGCCTGCTCCGCACAAAGGTCCTAGATCAGCTCGAGGCGAACTTCACCGCCAAGCTGACAGAGCCCTTTGGTTGGCAAGACGGGGAGTAAAACCACCTTGGGCCAGCGTTGACATCGTCATAGGTTGTTTTGGAGCGGGAGTATACTGGGCTGACCGCAAGCGTGAAACTCGTCTCTTACAGGTTCGAGACGCAGCTGGCAGAAGCAGCGCCTGCTGCGGAAGTGAGGGCGCAGGAGGCTGCGAGGAAACTGGGGCAAATTCGAAGGGTGAAGGTTGCAAATGTTCGAGACACCGCCAGTGTAGCTAGTGAGCAAGTCTGGCGGGACCTCGTGTGGTCAATAATGCGGAGAGCGATGTGACTCTGGCAGCCTTCAAAAAGGCATACCCTGCCTACAGGTCCAGAAGGCGGAATCCGAACACGAAGCGGCTGCATTAAAGCAGAAAGAGGCCCGTGGCTGGCTTCTGCACTGCCGCATGGTGCCGCCGCACATGGGGGCCAAAAGGAAGATGTTGAGTCATGCGAGGTGTCTGTGGAACTCTGTGCAGCCAAGGAGGCTGTGACTCATGGCATGCTTGTCCTTCCAGCCAGATGTTTGTAAGCCTGGGCATGCGAAGGCACAGAAGGAGGCAACTGCAGTGGTGGCAGCTGCAAAGAAGACAGTTGCGGCCGCTCGGCTTCAAGTAAACCGGAGACTCAACATATATCGAGAGGAGCAGGTGGGGGATGTGTTGCCGAGGACTACCAGCCTGAGTATCAGGCAGCCACGGAAACCAGAGATGCCAAGAAGGCGCGATTCTCTCTGCGCTTGTAATGCGGGAGGCGTGGGAGGCGACGAGGAGGAGGATGCCAACCCAACAGGTTGAACCGGCCTTCTGCCTATGCCAATGGCACAGGAAGAGCTGGAGACCTACGTGGACGGAAGCCTTGCCACCTTCAAGGACAGCGACAGATGCCTGAGTTCACGAGGTGCCAGGTTTCTGGCATGGGTAGAGATGGGCTCCAGCTCGGTTGTGCCAGGGCATTCGTTACACTGACACCTGTTACACGCTCTGCCAATAAGCTGCGCGATGGGTTTCGCCTAGCTGAACTGTGAGTTGTTGCCTGCTGCGCCACCTGACGCAGAAGAAGAGATCCGAAGTCACATAAGGTCATAAGGCTATAAGGGTGGGTAGGAGGGCAAACTCCGTCAGGAGCTGAAAGAGCGCATCTCTGCAAAAAAGCGCCGCGAACTGGCTGCTGCTGCCAAGGCGATGTGTAAGAAATATTGAGAAATTTCCGCTGGTAGCACCAGGTTGTGGGGGCTTCGGGACTTGAGATAAGGGTTGACGCGACAGCGTTGAGGTGCAATTCAGGGTTTGCGGGACGTGGGAGGTAGGCTGCACTGTATGCGCCAGTCGTCACTCACTGTCACTCACACTTTGAAGCGTCTCCACTGCCGATTCCCACACTTCTTGCCTGTTTCAGATCCGGGGCTGGGATACTTTACCCCTGCTCTGGTTTCACCTGCCACTCCATCTTCCGCAAGTGCATCCACGTGTGCCAGCCGTGGCGTAAAGGTGCTTAATGTAGGAACCTAATTAAGAAACCCTGGGCCTATATTATCTATAACCCCAAAATAGTAGGGTTCATAAAAGGAAGCCTGGTAAAGGCCCAAGATGGCCCAAGGTTTCTGAATCAGGTTCCTACATTAATTATTGAGGCAAAAAGTATGGTACCCTTACAGATCCCTTATAGACCCCTTCAGAGGAACCCTCATTTAATCAGGCTCCTACATTACCCAAATGGGTGGTTGTCAAAATTATGGTCCCTTTTTGGGTACCTTAAATATTGGGTGCCGTACTATAATAAGGACCCCCAAAGGGACCCTATTATTGACAACTACCCAAACCTCCTCCTTGGAGAGTCCCCCCAGGAGGAGGCCGCCAAGGCGGCCCTGGCCGAGGAGGTGCCGGCTGAGGAGCCGGAGCAGGTCCGCGTGGAATGTAAAATCATACTGTATTCTGTAATATGTATATCTATGCATACACAGATTTTATCATATGTCTGTATATGTATATATATATATATATGTATATGTATATGGTGCCCCCCCAAAGAAAAATGTGTGTTTGAGCTGTTTTCTGCTTTTTCTTTCACTCAGGATCATCACCTCATGACCATCCTTCCACTCACGATCTGTCTCAGATCATCTCCTCATGACCGCACAAACCGACCATATTGAAGCCCAATGCAGCCCAATATTTCAATATGGCCCTTTTGGAGGACCACATTGAAATATTGAGCCCATGAGTTCAATGTGACGGATCCAAGACCCAAGACTCCCCAGGACTCTTGGGGAGGAAAGTTTTGGATCACGGATCTTGGTTCCGCCATATTGACACACACACACACACATACATATATATATATATATACATACATATAGTATAGAGAGTATGTGTGTGTGTGTCTCTCTCTCTCTCTCTCTCTCTCCCTCTTATCAATCATCTCAGTGGTGCGATTGTATTTATGTATACTAATACTATATATATACATATATATATATATACATATGTACAGCATATATCATTCCACATTGAATCCTCTGCTATCTGAAACTTCTCTTTTCTCTTCGAAGGGTCGGGTGAGGGTCGCCAGGTGGAGTGGTAGAAGCAGGGGTTGCCGCCGTCAGCTTTTTTTCCTTTTGCAGCTTGTGTTGTTTGAAGTTGCAAAACCTCCAGGACACTGCAGCTGGACAGTGATGGCCGGGTATGCAGGGTTTTGCAGGATTGCAAGTGCACAGAGTCCGATGCGACGACATGCGACCCGTTCCCTGACATTGAGCCTTGAATGGATGCCGGTCTAATCGCAATGCACGCAGCCAGTTTCACCTTGATCTGGCCTGTACACAAGGATCCTCCTTCGTGGTAGTTCACGGGGTGGATGAATTGGCACACTAGTGCCGACAGACACAGCTGTTTAAGAGCAACATACTATATTTGCCCAGGAGGGAGGAGGCTAAAAATAGGCACGCAAGCTACAAGTAACAGGCTCGAAAGACCCAATGTCCACAGCCTAGACGACTTAGCTCCTTCCTGTCTCTGTGGCTCTTTGGCGGCCTCAGGCCATCCACGTTAGTCCACGTTGCTGAAGTTCGCAAATCGCCAAAATACGAAGCTTCACGGAGTTTTTTTTGTCTGATCCTCTTCTTCACTAGTCATGTTACATATGTCGTCCAGACATGCCGCGCAGCAACACAAGTTGGTAAGATGCAGCCGCTTTGATCAAGAAGGTCGCTCCAGACTTGTTCTGCGAAGCCTCCTGCGTGCAGCGATGGCTTCTGCTACAAGCGGGCCGGAGCTTCAATTTCCTTTCAGCCCCAGTGTCATCCAGTACCGCCTTCGCTTTTACTATGCTATTGGCAACACCCCAGCACAGAACCTGCTGGTTCGGTACAGTGATGCACCTTTCGCTGCAGACTACGATGTCCTTTGCCTGGGATGTGGAGACTTGCGGCATTGCTTGTTTTCTTTGGCAGGCTTGGTAGATGTGTTCAAGCCCGGGACTCTCGTGGAGCTGCATGGGCTCACGGGCAGCGCGCACCTGAACGGGCAGAGGGGCAAGATCGAGAAGCTCGTGAAAGAGAAAGGGAGATACAAGGTTTCGTTGCCAAAGAGTGCCGGAGGAACGATCTCAGTAAAGCCAGGAAACTTGATGAAAGTTGGCGGGGATCGTTGTCAGCAGTCACACGTACATTTCTTCTTGAACGATGTCGACCCGCACGTCATAGCTCGGAATCTGCTTTTGCTTGAGTGCATGTTGGACCAAGCGGTGCCCTTGGAGACCAGCTTCGCTCTTTGGTTCTCCATGGGCCTCACAGATTCCCAGTGGCAAACTTGCATTGATAAGATCACCTGCCTCATAAAACGTTGCATGGGGCCTGACGATGCCCCGGTGCAAGGGTGCCGCTTCGATAATGATTCTGGGAGGTCCTGGTCGCAGGTTTTGGAGACCTGGCGGAAATGGTTGGTGATGGCTGGGCACTCCAAAGAGGCCAGCAGCAAGGCATCTCCGTTGCCCAGCCATGCGCAAGTGCTGCAAATGCGCCGCAACACGTTGTCAGTGAGGTGCAAGCAGCCTGGAAAGTCATCAGTGTTTGAGCCTATGCCACGGCATGCAGTCACAGTGGATGAGCTCCGGAAGAGCATTGGGGGAATTGTGTACGGGCACCTGTTTAAGTGGGACGTGCCTTTGTTACACAAATCCATCTTGGAGATGCGCCAGTCTCAGACACCAGAAGTTGAGGAGCACTTGCTTTCGGGCAACTTTAACATTGCTACCGCCCCCTACTGCAGGACGAATGCGACGTTGTTCTGGCGAAGTGACAAGTACGACTTGCACTATGGCACCAATGCATATGACGCCTTCCCACGTTTTGCAGCAGACGCTGCCCAGCCTCTGCTCACACTATGCTTTGCCGAGTTCAGTGAATGGGTATCGGCCTTACGACTGCGCAGTCATTTTGTGCGATGGACCGTCTCCACGGCAGATTGTCGCCACTTGGCTGTTTCTACCGAGCGGCTTTTCGATGTGGTGACTTCCTCGAATCTGGTTGATCACATCGGCCTCTTGAACTTGCTGGCAACATCGCGAGCATGCCTGAAAGATTTTGGGGTCTTGTACACGAATTCCCTGACATGGAATTTCGATAACGAGAAAGGCAAGCAAAACGACAGTATGAATGAGCTCGACTTTGTGCGGCAGCAGCTCCCATGTTTGGGCGTGCACTTGTGGCCTCAACTAGTTGGCTGTCGTCTGATGGGCTTCGAGTCGCCTGATGTCCGGCCGGTTTCGAGCCAGTTCCAGTCAGAAGAAGTGGCAGCCCTCCGTGCAGGCGTGGCGCACCTGGGTGCAAGCTTTGCATTCAACAGGGAGCTCAACTTGGTGTGGGTCGCAGTGCCACGGACAGAATATTCCTCGCCTGAGCCTGCCGCGACTGCCGGGATAAGTGAGAATATGTTCTGGGACGGCGGGGGCAGGGTGTCTCCTTTTGCCGAAAATGTGGGGGCCCTGGTTTCTCACTTAGGGCGGCCCGTGGGGTTCGGTTCGTTCGTGCTGACCCACCCTGGCTCCGTGCTGCCCCACTTGGCTGGAACGCTCGGCCCGGAGGAGATCCGTGCGATTGGCGAAGGCTTGGAGTGGACTGTATTGTGTGACCTCCTGCTGTGCCAGTCGGGTCAGGAGCTAAAAGACAAAGTGCGGCTGAACAGTGTCCAGGTGCCGTATGTGGCTCTCAATGCTGCTTGGGAATCGCAGCCCCTCGTTGTTGTCCGGGTGGTGGGAGTGGACGGCGGTGCCCACATGTACTACGGATCCTGGCACCACTGCGACGATGAGAGGGACGTGGTCACTTTGTATTTCTTCAGCTGCAAATTCCCACCTGGAGCCCAGGTAGAAGTTTGTTCACTTCACTTTGGCATCAAGATTGCAGATGGTTTGGCCTTGCAAGAGGAGGATTTGTCCATGTGTGAGGTGAACAGGATGCGTGGCAGGTTTGGATTCCCACAGCTGGATGTCTCACGCAAAACGACGGACATGCCTGGTTCTCCTACTTTCGCACGCTCCTTCTCCATCGTGTCAGATGAGCACGACCAGGTCACTTTCCGTTTGGTGGATGAACGGGTAACCAAAAGTCTGGCTGGCGGAGCCGGTAAATTGCGGATTCGCTCCAACAACAGCCCTGTCGAGTTCGAGATCACTGATTGCCAAAGCACGGTGTCAACCGCCTCCGGAAAAGCTTTCCTGAAATTCACTTATGCCTATGCCCCACTTCGAGCAGAGGAGGCAATATTTTCCTTTGAAGCCATGGATGGCGGGCAGGTCAAGCGCTCAGGCCCCGCACCCGTCCTGCTGCGTATTCGCAAGCGACCATTTCAGGGCATTGTTCGCCGATTGACCCACAACACATTTCTGAACATGGAGGGGTGCTACCCGCAGCAATCCATGGTAACATTGTCCGGAGCACAATTTAATGATGAAGAGCGGTACATTTCACGTTCGCGAGAGGATTCGTGCAAACCACCGCTGGTCAATTTAAAAGACTCCTTTATGATCAAGCATGTTTGTTCCGGTGTGCAGCTTTTGTGGTTCATGCGGCCTTGGCCGCTGGTAGCCGCTTCGGGAGCTTCTGGAGGGATCCTCGGTGTTCTGTTCCAGGTCTTCCGGGAGGTGACGCGGGATCAAGGGATTCTGATACCTCCTGAGCCTTTGCTTCCTTCGGGTTTGGGGG